ATTTTGCTTGTTCTAAATGTAATCCAGAATTTATTAATATTACACCAATTAATGATATATTAAACAAAAGGACCAAATTTAACCACCATGGAATTAAAATTAACCCTTTAGAATGAATTTTATTAAAAATTTTTAAAATTTCAGATGAATTTAATAATAATATTTGAATTTGAGTTGTTGAATTAATTTGAATATCTTTATCTAATAATTTAAATAATACTTTATTATGTAAATTTAATATAATATCATAATAAGTTAAATAAATTTGATCAATTAATAATTCATCATATTCTTCAATGGAAATATTTTCATCAATCCATTTTTTCAAATTTGTTAATTCCTGGGAGACATTTTCAATCATTTCATCAGTTAATTGACCCTTTGTTGATAATTGTTGAATATCACCACAAATCTTAGCTAAATGAATCATAACAAGACTTGGTTTAGTTAACCAACCATCACTTGTAAATGAATCACCCTTTGTCGGTAGTGAGGGTAATTCCATATTAATTAAATCATCATAAATTTCAAAATGTTTACCACTTTGGAATCCAAATATTCTATCCCATGTATAAACACACCAAAAAATTCTTTTAATTTTAATATGTTCATAAATTTTTTTATGGAAAACTGCAGGGATTCTATTTAAATTCATTCCCATACCTTTACACATTCTTATTGCGATACCCAATGATGTATATGATGATATTTGTCTATGACAAGTTCTTAAATATAATGTAATTAATATCCATGATTGAACTAATTCAAATGATTCCCATTCAAAACTTAATTTTGAAACAACTTCATAACTTTCATCAAATAATTTTTCTTCTAAAGTTGGATAATTCTTAGTTTTAATAAAAATTGGTAATGTTGGATGATTTTCTGAATATCTTAAAGAAATAGCCAAGACTAAATATAATATTGAAGTAAATAATCTTGTTGATTGATCATGTTCATCATTATTTAATGAAGAAAGATAATTTTCATATTGATCTCTAAATACACTTTCATGTAATATTCCATATAATGGATTTATCTTTTCCATAAAGAAGTTTAATAACCAATTACTCATTTCTAAATCTTGATCATCTTTTAAATTTATTAAACTTGTAAAAGGGGGTAATTTTCTTTGTTTGAGGTAATGTCCACCATTCATATTCCAACCATAAAATTGAATTCTTGGAATAAATAGTTCCTTCTTGTTAATTGGTTGGGAATCCGTTTTTGAACCAAGATTTTCCATTATAATTGAACCTAATTCATGAGGTAAAATATTTTGATAACGTTTCATAACTCTATATTTATCTCTTGAAAAAGTATAAAAGTTTTTATCAAAAATTTCATCATTTAAATTTGAATTATTAAAATTTATACCAATTTTATTTTTATTTTGAATTTCTAATTCATGTATTCTATTTTCCAAGAATTGAATATAACCATCAGAATCATTACCACCATGAACTTTTAAATTATGTTTATTATCTTTATTTTTATCAATGATTGTAGTCACAGGGACTATTGTAGTAAATTCACAATTATGTCCATGTTTAGAACATGATAAACAAGGTTGTTCACCATTACATTTAGTTTTTTGTTTCTTACAACGATCACAAGCTTTTTTAACTCTTAATCTATTTGAATTTGAATTATTATCACTAATTGATCTTTTTTTAGTTTTTGAACCTTTTTGTGATTGATCTTGATAATCTTGTGGAGATGAACTTTGTGAGAATGGGTTTCTATCCATAACCATTGGAGCAAATGGTGGTAATTGAATTCTTCCTTCGTTATTCATATTGTAAACTAGTAAAACCCCCGAATAATCAACAAAATAGTTTTGAAATAGCAGCTAATAACGTAGAAGTTCTAGAAATGATATACTATATTCAGCTTAATTATCCGATGATGGTTCTTCTTATCACTTTTAATCTAACAGTGCTTTCTGTCCCTGTGATATTCCAATTTTTGTTTATTGTTTATTGTTTTGTTTACTTTTAACAAGTATTGAATAAATTGCGGTCCGTTCGGAAGGAAAATGGGATATTACCGGGCCGGGGCTTCAAATTAATTTAATCAATTGTACTCATGAAGTTTGAATATTTTACTTAAGAAACAAAAGCAGATGATGGTGATGATGATGACCAAATAGAGCATTAGACACTGTTCATTTTGATCTTTTTTTCATCAAAATATCTCCATTTTCCACTTCTATATACTTTACATTGATCATTAACCCAAATGCAATTTTTATTATCTATAACCAAAAAACACTTAAAACCTATATACAAGCTGAAACAAATAATTTATAATGATATCAATACATCAGTTTTTTTCTTCTTTTTCTTGAATAACTCCACCATTTTCAAAAGGTGCTTCATCTCTTGCTTCTTCCAACATTGGTAATATACCTTGTTTAGCTAAATGTAAATCAACACATGCTTTATAATCATACCAAAGATCTTCACATTCATTATATAAACTTTTACCTTTCAAGAATTCTATCAAGACTTGGTTAGTAACTTGTGATCTTCAATCTTCATGTTTAATACTCACTTTCACTATACCAATTATTAAAACAATCATCATATTCTTTTTTGGCATTTGTACATTCTGGAGCAAAACTTGAACTCATTGCGTTACCCATGTCTTTTATTAACCTAACAAACACAAACACTCAACAGTGACTGATATAAACAGAGATAATATTGAACTTTCTCTTAGTTTAAATATAATTTTCTTTTCAAAATCAACTTTTGTATATGAAAATTTCAAAAAAATATACAAATTCGCGAATGTATAAGTAGTATTGTGTCCGTTAACAAAAATATAACCATTTAAATTAATTTTATATTAAGTTTAAACATTTCATTATTCATCACTCCAATCCGGATTATCACCCTTTTGTTGTTGATTCCCATCTAAAAAGGCATCAAATTCAGGGATATCTCCCTTTTCTTGATCTCCTAGCTTTGGGTTCTCAATTTCTTTATTTTGTAAAATTTCATCATTAAATAATGAATTATCTGTTGAATCAAAATTATATCTAGTCTCTGTAGGTTTATTTGCTTTATTTGTTGTTGCAGCACTTGCCCCAAATTCTTCAAATCCACTAAGACCACTATCATTACCACCAACATTATCTAAAATATCTTGAACTATATTTTGTGCAGCTATTTTAGAAGGAGTTTTTCTTAAATTTGGATTTCTTGAATTTAATGGACCCATTTGTATTGTAATTGGTGGAGATAATTGTGGTGTTGATTCTGAATCATCAAATCTATTGAGTTCTGGTTGATGTTGAAGTTGTGGTTCTAGTTGTAATAAGCCTTGATTACTATATCTTTGTGCAGTTCTTGTTGTTTGATCTGTTGTATGTAATAGTTGACCATTTGCACCATATTTTGGGGTATGTGGGAATCGTTGAGCTTCTTCTTGATCTTGAATTCTTACTTGACCTTGTCTTATCATGGTTTTTCTTAATGGGGAACGATTTGTTTTTATTGGACTTAATTGAATATCTGAAGTCAATTTTGGAGTTTCAATATCAAAAGGTGAAGAATCAAATTTTTGTGCAATCAAAGATTTTCTTTTTTTATATAAATCTGATCTCTTGGGAGTAATTTGATTAACTATACCATGTTTTGTGATATTTGATCTTCTTGGTGAAATTTGAACTTTTAAAACTTTATCTAAATTATGATGTAAATCATAAGTTCTAACATCAGGTTTAACAAATTCTCTAGTTCTTTGTAAAGTTGGAGTTGTTTGATTTAATTCAGTACCATTATTTATTGAATTTGATAAATTTATACTTTGTGGAATTGGTGGTAATATACTATCACTTGTATCAAAACCAAAATTATTATTTGATTGTTTTTGAGATTGTGTAATGGGCATTATTGGATTTGATTTGGGGAATTCCATTGTAGATTCTTCTCTTGGTTTAAAATTTACATTATAATGATGTTGTTGCATTGTATTATGATTTGTTGATTCTTGTAAGAAATCATTGGGTTGATGATTATGATTATTTGGTTTTATTGGACTTAATTGTTCATTTTCTTGTAATGTATCATTCCCTGTGAATTCACCATCACCAACATTACTTTGCTCCACGGATAATTCAGTTGATTGATTATTTAATTGAGCTTCTTCATAACCTTTTAATTCCGAATTTGCACTAAATTGTAAGAAATTTTTCCAAAACCCAACACTTTGATCAATTTTAATGGAATTTTGATGATATTTTGTTATTATAGGTATTAATTTTTCATTTATAATTCTATGACTTTTAGCAAAATTTTTATCAATTGATTGTAAAGTTAATGTGATTTCTTGTTCAATTCTTTCCAATTCAATAGCTTGAGTTGAAGTTTCTTGTGAAGTATTATTGTTTATTCTTGGAGTGAAGATGGACTTTCTCTTGTTTGCCTGTCCCTGTATATCATTGTATCTATTAGCCATTGTTATCAATCTTGATGATCTTAAATATTCAAAGTATTGAAAATATTCAAAATTAAAATGTTTATTTAAAAACGCGAAAAACGTAAACAAACAAGTGACGAAATACGAGGGTACACGGTCATGTGATCAATTTAAGTCGGAATTTAAAAGTAAAATAAAGTCAAATAAAGTCAATACAAAATTACATCAAAAAAATCAATTACAATTAAAACCACTAATGATATAAGAATCCACTGATTAATGAATATGAGTGATCAAGAGGAGAAACCTACAGCCAGACAATTACGACTGGATAGACTCCATTCGAATAGATCCCAGTTTCTCATCAATGAAAAAAAGAGGAAACTAGAGAAAGAGAAAAAGAAAGAGAGAAAGAGAAAACATAATGAAGATGATAAGACAGGTTTGAAGTATCTTTTAGTCATATTATATAGAATTGGCTTGGATTATACTTTTTATAAAATATATTTGTTGTGTAATATTAATATTGGTATATTCACATCTAACACTAGTTCTATGTAATATATTGTTTTCGATATATAAATTTTTATTGAACGATATTTATAACTTACAATTAATTGAATATATATTTCAATAAACATGATTCATATATTATAAAAATTAATTAAATATTTCAGCATCCAATATTTCAGCATTCAGTATTTGAGTTCCCTCTTCAACGTTTCATAATCCATAGGATAAGTATACTTCTTCCCTTCATGTAACATTTTACCATGATCAAAATCAATAACCCAAAATTTTTGTTCATCTTCATCAAACCCAACATTTCTTCTTGCAATATCATTATGATTGATACCAATTCCTAATAATCTATTGTATTGTTCAATACCTAATTTGAAATGTTTCTCCTTTGATGGTTTATTTTTGATACAATCAACATAGCTCTCTATGATAAAAGGACCATTATATCCATAACTTGTAATCATTCCATAATTTAACAGAGTTGGTACGTTAATTTTCTTTTCTTTATTTTCATCCTTATCATTATAATTTTGAATACGTTTCATGATCTTCAATTCATTCAAGAATAAACCTTTATAAATATGTTCCTTATAGTATTCCTTGAAACTTAATTCTTCATAATTATACCTCCTTTCAAATTTTGAATCAAAATGAAGTTGTGACCATCCAATATCATAAATTTTCAAAATAACAAAATCATTATTTGATTCATCTTTATTGGAATATTTCATAATATCCAATTCTTCAAGTTTTGATTTTTTGCATAATAACACAACAGATGGATTATATTCATCACCATTTTTTAAACCTGATAAAATTTTCACATATGGTAATACACATGGACAATGAAAGATTTTGAAATCATCATTAACCAATGAAACAGTATTAGATAAAGCAGATGAGCTTCTCATCTGAGAAGAATAACCTGCAATCGGATTTGAGTTTGACGAATCATCATCATTATCATCATTAGTATCAAAATCAATCATCATTTCTTTGAAAAAATTCATCTTTGTTTCTTGACATTCTTTAGGAGTCTTAGATACTTTAGGTAAAAGTTTTCTAACATTACCTGAACTAATAAAAGGATCTCTTGAAATAATTAACATAATCATTTGTAATGATAATTTATCTTTCAATTCCAAGTCTCCAGAACAATTAATAATAGATTCAAATGTATTATCTAAAACAAGATATTGGAAAGGTATTTCAACCATTGTGTTCTTATTTTCTAATTCAAATTCAGAAGTATTTTTATCACCATTTTTTTTGATAATGTAGCATGATTGTTTTATTTTGATCAGAAACGAAACAAATATTAGTATCACATTGAATCATTTGTGAAATAGATTCATTAAGAATTTTTTCACTTTGAGAAGACATCATTGCTTGGTTATCAATTGTTTCAATTAAATTTTCGGCATTGAAAAATTTAACCTCAATTGGGTATTTTTTTAATAAATTTAATGAATTCTTAACATAAATAGCCAAAGTTGGAGTAATAATTTGACCTTTTAAATGTATGAAATTATGTTTCTGAGATTTGAATTCTTCAGGTGTTCTATATCTGAATGTTCTAATGGGGAAATAACCAAACATATCAATTCCATAGGCAAATCCACACAAACTTCTAAAAGGCGATAACATTGATTCACCAAATGAGGCAAAAAAAAATATTTCTTCTCTAATAGCGTCACTTCTATTATATTGTTTTTGATCATATTTATCAACTTGATCTTGAGTTTTATTTTGATCATCATGAATATCATCAAAGTCACTTTCTTCATCAATGAAATCATCACGTTTTTTTTTCATCCATCTTACCACTTTTTGGCTTAATTCTATCACGGTGACGATATGAACTTTGAAATATTCCATACACATCATATATAATTATACTTTTCAAATGATATCCAAATTCAAAATCACTCAATTCATTACGTTTTTCTTTCAATTTATCAAGTAATTCATTCTCACACTTAATAAATTTTTCTCTTAAAATATCATCATCAAATTTTGAGCAAAAATTTGGTTTTGGTTTCATATTTTTGAAGCAACCAATCAAATTAGTGGCATTAGTATCAACGTATTGTAAATTATCAATATCTGGTTTAATAAATTCTTCTTTTCTAACAATGAAAACAAGTTTAACAAAATGTATAATATCAATTTTAGAATCCTTACGGTATATTCCTGGTTCAATACAAAGTCTTAAGATATATCTAATGAAGCCATAGAATTTTTTTTTTGATATTCTCAATTGTTTCAGGCTCAAATCCCCTGTAAAAATTTCTAATATCTATATCAATTGAGGATTTTATCATTTCTGACTCAACATTTTGTTTTAATTTTTCCTTATTATCTGATACGAAGTTAAACATGGAAAATTTTTCATCTAATTTTTGTGAAGTACCATGGGATCCTTGATCATTTTGCTTATCAGTAGGTTCTGGAACTTTTCTTCTTTTAACTTTATCATCATCATCATTATCATCATCTTTATGACCCATCTCCTTCTTCTTATTTTCAGTAGAGTCCAGATAATTTGATCTATTTGACCTAAAGTTATCCAATCTTTTCTCTCTAGCAGATTTCTTTTTACGACCCATGATTAGCTTTGATTTGTAGATAAAGACAAAGTAGACAAAATATGCAAAAGTATACAAAGCATTTAAAATTGAATATGTCAAATTTGATGAGTATAATTGTTTTCGATTACAAGGAAGTTACATAATCACATTGGTATATAAATATTATCTATTCAATTAATATTTATTCTTATGAAACCAGTTATACACAATATTATAAATTCACACATTAATGAGCTTAAATTGATTTATTTGTTTTATTTCAGTCATTGAATGGAAAACGTTGGAACTAAATTGTGAGTACGTCGTCAATTAATTATTCATGATAATTGCTATGAATGTGAAATCAGCAATCAATTAGGTCAAGTACTACTAGACAACTAACTGGACATACATTCTATAGTAAACCATACCCGTAGAACTCAATAAACACCATTACAACAACCCAATATTACTCTATAATTCAATATATCACTGGTCTTTCATAACTTTTAACATGTACTTATACTATTTATGTCTCATCTTTTTAAATACCCGTAAATTCTTTTTGTAATTTAACCGAAGTTTTTTTTTTTTTTTACGTCACAATTTAAAATTTTGAAACGGCTCGGAAATTTTTGGCTATGCATTGAAATTTAAATTGAAATATTTATAAGTAAACAAAATTGTTTTCAATTCTTTTTAATGTTTTATATTTATATTTAAGGAAAGAATTAGATTCAAGGTTATTCTTTGATATCAAATCTATTAAAATCTATATTCAATACCCTATATCCATCAAATACCCAGTTTAAATATCAGATCTCGGTTACCAGTTATAGTCACAAGACATCATTATGAATCCAATAAAATCATTCTTTCATTTGAAAAATTATTGGTTTTTAGTTCCATTTATTGGTCAGATTCCATGGTTAGGTATGCTTATAGCAATGTTAAGTGCATGGAATTTACAAGGTCGTCCACTTTATTGGTTTGCAAAACCTGATCAAATTCCTCCATATATTTCTTATATTGGTGCTACAAACTTAAGACCATTATTTATAAGTTGTGCCGGTGCCCAAGGTTTATTTTATGAAGCTACCTTGGTAATTGAATTTTTCTTAAGAAGATCTGGGAAATTACAATATTGGTTCAAGAAAGATGAAAGAAATTTATTATTTAGTGCAATTATCTTAGGGGCAATTGGTGAATTAGGTATATTATTTGTTGCAATTTTTTCAATTAAAAAATATGACACAGTGCATCATGCAATGTTGGGAGTTTTTTTAGCTTTTATTTGTCTTTCAGGTATTTGTTTAATTACAGAAAATTGTTTAATGGGTCTTCATTATCAAAAAATTCATGTTTCTCATAAATATTGGAATAAATTTACCATATCATTTTATTTAAAATTAACTTATATTGTTTTAGCTATAGTTTTCGCTATATGTTTTGGTGGGTTCCAAAATAATACAATTTCATCAATTTTTGAATGGACACTTGCATTTTGGTATATTACAATTTTTTGGATTTTAACATGGGATTTATTCCCAGCTGCTAAACATCATCATAAAAATGCTCAATATATTAAAAATTGGGAAAATTATGATTATTATTATTATAATCAAAATCCAGAAATTCATCCATATGAAAAATATGCAGGCCCTGGTTTAATTATCCCAGAATCACATCATGAAACTGGTCCTTATTCAACTCAAAATTATTCAAATTCAAATGAAGGTGCTAATACATTAGTTCAATCTCCAGGCGAAGATCATTTAAATACAAATCGTGAATTTACAGATGAAGAATTAAGATCATATCCACAAAAAAATCAAAATGATTCTTATCCAATACCAAATGGTCAACAAATTCCAATTTATAATCAAGTTAATGATAATGATAATATTGATCCTTATACTCAACAAAAAGAATTAAATAATAATAAAGAAGTACAAAGTGCTTATGAAAATGGTACAAAAGATGATAAAAAAAATTGTATTATAGTATAATTATAAGCCCATATATACCATTTTAGATTTTGATTTATAGCTTTATAATATTGTTTTGCATACGTGATAATGAACATTTATATAAATAAACTATATTGTAGTATAACACTAACCTCATATTATCAAATATCTATAAATTTCCAACTCAAGAATTTAAAAATCTTTCATCTGAATCATTTGAAGATAATTCATCATCTTGTTTAAAGGGGGTTTTTAGTTTATTTCCCTTATAAACAACAGGAATTATTGGTTTTTGAGAAATTGATTTATTATAACTAGTAGTATGTAATCTATTGTCATTCACCTGCTTTTGTTTATTAAAATTCAAATTATTAATATCATTAGCTTTAATTGATGTACCTAAAATTTCATTTGAATTGTAATTATCATCAAATTTTGATTCATCTAAATAAGATGAAGGTAAATTTTTATTCCAATAACCAATATCTTTTTGAAATTTTCTTTGAGATTTACTCAATTCAACTTTATAACCATTTTGTAAAAAATTACAATCATTGTTTAAATTTTGATCATTTTGATATAATTTCTCATCTAAATTAAAATCTTTACCAAACTTGTCACCATCAAAATATAATTTATTTGCATTAACACCATTTAATTGTTTATTAACTTGTTCAATAATTTGATCATCAGTAGGATTAACAGAATAATTATTAACAGTTTGAGGTACTATTTCAAGATTAAATTTATCATTTTTTGTAATTCCAAGTTTTTCTTTTAAATTATTATAATTATTCATTGGATTAAATGCTGATAAATAAAACGGATTGATATTACCATGTTTCAAAGCACAAATTTTATTTACTTCATAATCCAATTTAACTTGTTCATAATGTTTCATAAATTTATTCTTTTCTTCTTGACTTAAATGGATGTTTGGAATTTTTGCATCTTCATATCCATCATCATCATGTACATCATACTTACCATACTTTTCAACCACAATTTTGTCATTAATTCCAACCACTTCTTGCTTCTTCTTTTTTCTTTCAATATAATAATCTTCATAATCTTCTTCATCACTTTCTGATTCATCTGCATACAACCCTTGACATTGCTTTATATTTTTAGGTCTTACAAATATAAATTTATAAAATTTAGTATTCAATTGATGATAAATTGGAGTCTTCTGTGAATTTGAGTTGGTAACATCAACTTCTTTCTCATCAGTATTAACTAAAAATTGGTTTGTAAAAACTTGTTCGTATTGTTGTTGAGTAGTTGTATTATTATGAAAATTAACAATTGAGTAGCCAGGTAATGATAAATTGGGAGAGTCACCACCAATTGTCCCTGGGTGAGGTATCTCATTATCGTTTGCAGGGAATGGGCTATTATTCAAGGTGGGGATATTAGGAACAGTATTGATTAAATAACCAGAAGGATTTGAGGATGTATATGTAATATTCAGATTATTGTTGAATGAATTGTGGTAATTATTTGAGCCATAGGTATGTATAGCATTGTTATTAGCTGGTTGGAAATAATTTGAATTATCAATTTGTCCTGGGAAAGGTAATATATTAGAGTTTGGAATAAATGGAACATTATTTATCAAATTTTGATGATAAATTGGAGTTGATCCATTAGCAGCATTATTATTCAAAGGTGGTTCAACTTCATAATTAAATTTCCCTTCTAATTTTGGATCTTGAGTTATTGTATTATATTTATATGTTGGGGATGAAGAAAAATCAATTGGTGACATATCATTGTGATTATGTAGACTTGGAGATTCTGCTAATAATTCTTCTAGCATAGGAAAAGGTGAATGAACAGGACTTATAGATTGTGGAGTTGATATCTCATTAAATGATAATATGGGATTCTCTTCATCCAATCTGTTTTTAGCAGCACCCTGATTATAGTTATGTGTATTATTGAGAAAACAATATGGAATTTCTTTACATTGAATTGGTGTACCCTTTTCAACACATTCATTCAAGTCATAAAGGTTGCAATCTCCTGGAACCTTTAAAAAAGCAGCATTAACATCATCAATATATACATCAGTTGGCTTTTCTTTGCAGCAATCAAGACCACAATGGTATTCAAAATCATTTGTAATTGCACAAACTTTATTACGATCTGAAACCAAATCAGCAGAACTTAAAATAATCCTAATATAATCACCATTTTTGGGTCTTCTATTTCCAACTAAAACCTCTAAACAACCTTTTGATCCCATACCCAAAACACATGAGTCCAAGAGTCCCTGACCTAAATGATTACAATTTCCTGTGATATGGCTTTGAATGCAACATTGACAAGCTATTTTCAAATATGTCCCATAAATCATGATGTTTACAAAAATAATACCTTCAAAATAATGAGCGGTTCAATCAAATATATTAGCGATATGAAGCAATGTATATAGCACAAACTGGCAACTTCAAACAATATCTTGTATCAATGGATCACTAAATAAGATCATATTGACTAAGGTTCATCAACCAAATCTTCCATCACCTAAATATTTTTGTTGATATCATCTTTGTGTAATTGGTGAAGAATGTCACCACAGAAACATATAAAATTTCCCCATTGAAAACTCAAGGTAGCCGCTGTGATCATGCCCCGGGTTATTCAATCTATAAAGCATAATACCAAAAGCCCTGGACAGCGTTAGAAAACCATTTCTTTGATCTGCTTTTGATTGTGGAACTGCTAACATCATGTCCTTTATGTTGATTTTGTTTATATTTCCAAAAGTTCGCGCATATATAAACAAAACTGATACTACGAACTACGAACTCAAACAAACAAAACAATTTATTCCATATTATAAAACTATATACAGATCGTATTTACTTGTAATCTATCTGAGAAGTTATGAAATCTATTCGTTCTGCTCAGAAATCAGGATAATTGGATGGATCTTCGAAAACAAATTCCCATTGTCTAGTATTTCTTATATGGTTCTGGTTCTGGTTACCAATACGCGTATCGTTTTGATGTTGATTTGAAGGTTGATGAGGCCTTGCATTTGTTGACATTGAACTACCCTGTTCATTGTCATTTGCTAAAGGATTGTTGTGAACAGGACTGTCTGAAGTATTCACATCAACGAAGCGTTGATTATTGTGATTTAAGACATCAGAATTCTGATTGGTGTTATCATTGATGATGGAATGATCGTTATTATTACGACGAATGTTATTTTGAATCAAATTTTCATAGGAATTTAACAAACATGTGATAAGGTGAATATTATTGAACAAGTTGTAATGATGATTGTTGTTAATGAGATTTTGATTATAAATAAATTGTAAATTATTGTAAATTCGATTAATATCTTGATCGATATTTTGATCTGTACCTTGATCTGTACCTTGATTATTATTATCTTGTTGATCAGTGTTACCATTTAAAAAAGAGTCTAATCGAGCAGCCGCTTCAGAACTATGAATCTGATAATTGAATTTGGCATCGAAAATTGGAATGATTGGATTGGTATTAAGTAATTCAGATAGAATCATATTGTTATTGAGTTGGACATTCTGAGCTAATTGTGATGATGTATTGTTTGTTGATTGTGCATTTATATTACCAGCTTGATTTGGATAATCTGATTTATCAGGATAAAGTTTAGCAATAGAATGGAAGTTCACATCCTTATCCAAGAAATCAGTTGGTAAATCTTTGTAACTAACAGGTGTACCAATCTTCTTTGCATCTTCAATTGAAGTAAAATCACAATATTGTGGAACTCTTAAAAAACTAGAAGTTTCTTCATTAATGTATAATTCTTTTGATTTTTTCTTACAACAACATTCATATCTAGAGTTTTGACTATTTGGACACCATTCATTAAGTTTGGGGACCAATTTAGCTTCAATCAAGATGAATTTATCATTATTGGGATTTAATGTTACAATGTCATCATCTTTTGTGTTTCCAACACCATCAATTCGATCTGGGACTCTTGATTTCCTTCTTCCTTTCTTGGAAATGACTTCTAAACAACCTCTGTGTCCATTATATCCTGGATCGTCTGATTCAATGATTGATTTATGGTTACACGTTTTGGTCCTATGACCTATAATACAAACCTGACAGGAAACTTTGATGTGTTTTCCATATACCATGTTTGATATAGTTCTTCGTTTTTATTCTTTGTTATTTGTTGTATACTCTATAGCTTTAATCTCTATGACTTGTATCTCTAATGTAACTGAAGCTTTTAACAGAGTATAAGTTTGATAAAAAAGAGGTATCCTTATCCAGCTTTTATTTATATATTCCTAGACAGAAACATCGACATGAATCCTAATTTGAACAGAAAACATATCACCAATCAAACATTTCTAGAAAGCACTCATTTTTAAGAGCATGATGAAGTGAATACCAATGAAAAAGGACTCATGAAACCAGGAATTTTGGTCAGTACCCATTAAATACAATAAACGAGATATAGCGACACAGGCCATTGGACACCTAGCAAGGGTTCTGGATGCTTAGAATGTCATTGTAGAAGTAGAAAAGGTGTTGATATTTATTAATTGATTCTTTATACTGATTATGTAACCATAGTATAATATCGGTCAAACTTTCGGTTTATAGACCAGATCGACTTTTTCACATATATAAAGAGCTTTTGTACCCACGTAATCACATCACAGGAACCATCAATGGTTATTAAATGGGTCAGTTAACAAGGAGAGACCAATAGAGGTATCAGTGACACTATTTAAATGCCAAAAAGTCAAGAATTCGAACTGGAAGACTTCCTTATCGGTGATGAAGCTACAAATTCAATCCCAACTAGTCAAGATCAAGATCAGCAAGGAGATGATCATCAAACCACAGTTAAAACAGTCAACTATCAAGGTCAACAAATAAAGATTCTTCCGAAGGACTGGAGACATTCCAATTTATTGAAATTCCAAATTCTGATTTGTTTTTGTTGTATGGTTATAGTTGGTATAAATGATCAAACAGTAGGGACTTTGATCCCAACACTAACTCATCATTATAATACTGAACAAACTACAATATCAACTGTTTTTGCATTACAATTCCTAGGGTATGCTACAAGTGCTTTGAGTAATGAACATTTACATGTTAAATTTGGTAGAAGAGGTGTTATGATTTTAAGTAATGCATTTTTATTGATCACATATTTAGTAAATTCATTTAAACCACCAATTTTCATTTATATTGGAATTTATTATTTTGCTGGACTTGGTGTTGGATTATTAGACTCTTGTATGACTGTTTGGCTAAGTTCACTTGTTGATCATAATGAAATTATGGGTTTATTACATGGGTTTTATGGTATTGGTTCAGTTTTTGCACCACCTTATATAAGTCATTTATTGAAATGGTTTAATAGTGATTTTAAATATCATTATATTACATTATCTGTTGTATCTTCATTAGGTGTGATTGCCTGTTCAATATTGTTTAAAAATGAATCAAAATTGAAATATGAATATGATCATAAAATTGCTGGAAATCATGATGATGATGTTGAACAAGATCATGGTTCAAATTTGAAAAAAGTATTAAAAATGCCAACTGTTTTAATATTTTCAGCTTATTTATTTCTTTATATTGGTGCAGAAGTTTCAATTGGTTCATGGTTATTAAGTTATCTTATGAAAATTAAAAATTTGGATCAAATTCAATCATCATATATTGTATCATGGTTTTGGATTGGATTAACAATTGGTAGAATTTTATTAGGATTTGTTACAAAATATTTTAAAAATGAATATAGAGCAAATTTATACTATGCATCATTATCATTAATTTGTTATTTAATTTATTCATTATTTACATTATCAATTTCATCAGAATATAAACATTTTACCATATGGACAAATATATTGGTTATCATATGTGGTATTTTCATTGGTCCTTTGTTTCCAACAGGCTCTATTACATTAATGAAGATTTTACCATCAAATTTACATGTTAGTTCAGTGGGGATAATGACAAGTCTTGGTGGATCAGGTGCTGCAATTTTACCATTCTTTGTGGGTATATTAACTCATGCAACATCATTAGAAATTTTACCAATTTTAATTAGTTTAATGATTATTGGTTATGTTATGATTTGGTGGTTTATACCAAAAGTTTGTCATATGCATAATTATGATTTTTAATAAATATTCTGATATATATAGCTATACAAAATAGAACCTTCATGTGGATTTGATGTACACAAAAGATTGGAATCAGACCACTGATATCACATGAATTCCTGTAGTATACAAAATATTTCTTGTAGCAGAAAACAAATAATTATGACGTTTTTATTATAATATAAATTAAAAATTAAATTGATGAATGATACCTGGATAACTTAAATAATGAGAATCATTTTGAATACCTCAATTCTATATCAATTCTATTACACAACAAGCTCCAGAGTTTTTTTGAGAGTATACCCTGTATATGAACCCAATAACTGGTACCTTTTACATATAGTACATATAATTATTAATCATCATCAACACCAATTTGTACCAAAATTTATACCAAAGTTCATTTCATATCATAGATTAAAATTAACTCTTTGAGTTTCAAATTCTTCAGGTGTAAATGTCTTTTGAGTAAATGCATGAATACTTGAAATAATTTCACTTAATTCTTTATTAACAATTCTTGATCTCATTAATTTATTTTTACCTTTAAATTTTTCTGATACTATAATAACTGCAAATGCTTGACCACAACCACCACTCATATCTTCAACATAAACTTCTGTTGGTTCTAATCTTTGTTGGATCACTTGTTTTAATAGGTCTGAATCCATTTTGAATTATATTCTTTTCCTTTTAAAGGTCTATATCACTTGATTGATTACTATTTGAAAGAAACTAATCTTTGATCATTTCGATAAATCAATACGTAATACTTTCGCGAAGAATATAATAAATCGTTGACTTCCCAAAACGGTAATAAGAAAACTTATATTCACTACAAATCATAAATTATCTTTTCAGCTTCTATTGATTTATAAATATATATATATATACATGATTTCATAGTATAGTCTTATTAGATAGCAACGTAGAATAAATCAGCACGCGCAAAAGGAATGTGAATAAATGGGTCATAAATTATATCTTGGAATATTCATTAGCAAATTGGTCATAAAATTGTTAAAATTCTTTAAAAAGGAAAGAATAAAGTCATCAAAAACAGTGGTTGTTCATAAAGTAAAATATCAATTATTCAATAATGATATGGAGGTGGTGGTGCATCTAAAAAACCATAATTATTCATACCAATACCAACATTTAATAAATAAGATTGTGATTTTCTTGGTGAATGAGATCTTGGATATGATGATGGGAATGAATTTGAATCTGTTTGAGTATTGACTGGTGTTAATGGTGGTCTTTTCAATATTGGATTTGTTAGATTTATAGCTGATGGAATTTCAATATATTGGAAACCATGAGTTGGATCTTTTTCATATAAATTCTCCATAGGTGTTGATGGAATTTCCTTTACTGATGATTCATCTTTTGTTATTTCATGTTGAGATTGTGAATTTTCTTCAACTAATGTATCTTCAGTGTTCATTGAAACAGAATTTGTAGCTGTGGTTGATGATGATTTCTTACTCTTTTTATTCATCTTTATACTTCTTCTTTTCAATTTATTATTATTTTTTTCATTTGAATAATATTTTGATTGAATTTTAGAAATTGTAGTTAATGTTGAGTTAATTTGATAATCATCATTATTTGTTGATTTATTAATTAATAATTCAATTGGTATATTTTTAGTATTTATAGCAAAATTATCACCAAATGAAGATTTAGATTTTTGTTCAAATTTAAACAACATTGGACGTTCAATAACATCTTGTAATGGGGGTATAGATAATCTAAAACTTTGTCTTGAAGTATTTAAAGTTGATAATTTTAACATATTTGTTGGTGATAATTCAGGTTCTGATGGATTAATTTCAAAAATTGAAATTCTTTCATTTTTCAATTGATCATTATTTTGTTCATTAATTTTGGAATGTAATTGACTAATTATATTATTTGTAGTCCATTTTTGTGAAACTTTATGTAAAACACTTGGTAAAATATCTCTAAATAAATCACGAATTTGATTTTCAATTTGTTTTTGTAAAAATCTTTCAATAACTGGTACATTATCAAAAGTTGAACTAACTTTAATATTCTCTAATGGATCATTTTTGAAAACTAAAGTTAAACCTTTTGATTTTGAAAAAACAACAACAATAATACCACTTAATTTTATATTTGATAATGTAACATTTAGTGGTAATGAAAAAGGTTGTGAAGCTAATTTAAAATTTGGTAAAGCAAATGAACTTGCTTGAGAAATTTCTTGAGAATTTCTTTCATAAATATTTAATAAATTTGCTTGAATATTTGTATTTAATGTAATATTTGCATCACCATCATATTTTAATTTAAAAATACCTCTAAATCTATCATTTGCTAAATCTCCAATTTCTAAAATTTCAAAACTTGGTGATTGTTTACCAAATGTCAATTCTTTAATTTTAATTTCTGATGAAAGGATATGAGGACGTTTACCTGAATTTAAAGCATCATAAAGTAATTCTTTTGACCAGGCAAGAAACGATCCTTCTTCAAAGGAATCCCAGCTTATATTACACGACATGACGACATGAGATTATATGACTTGTTGTGTTGTTGTTGTTGTTGATATTGGATCTTTCTTTTCTGGGGAATGTAATATAAAATGGCGTTATCTTTCTCTTCTCTTGTGACTAACGGCAAACCAAAAAAAAAGCAGCAACTGAAAAACAGTGGATTGTTTAAAACCTTTAAAGTTGTATGGGAATTGTATGAGAGTTTATGTGATCTGGAATGACTCAGTAGCACAATATTTCAATGAGTTTGATCTTATCTTTTTTAGTGATTTTTTGGTTGAATTTGATTTAAATTCCATATTGGAAAAGTATTTAAATGTTCGTTTTTGTCGCTTTTTTTTTGTTTTTTTTGGTTGTTTTCCTTTTGTTCCCAAAACGGTAATCGGTGTTGTTGACTTCCCGATATGGAAATAATACGGTATATGGAATGGTATAATATGATAAAGTGTTGAATAATAGAATTTAAAGATGGTTTATTAGTTATTTATACAGTTTTATATTGATTTTGATGGTTTTATTGTGATGTTTGGAGTGGGTTTTGGATATTTAAACCATGACTATTTGTTTCATGCATGGACTGGTATGCATGTATATTACTTGCAGAGATCTTGACACAAAACCAAAATTTCACAAAAATGTTTTACTACAAACAAAAAACAAATGAAAGGGCTAACTTACTATATGAGCATGTGAGATACATGCTATTACACCAACTGCAATCAAAAGCTGCATTTGCAACTTGATCATCTTGCTATACTAAAAATCATTTGCTTCCAATTAGTTACATTAGTTATAACGGTTATTTTTTCAACTCAACAGAACAACAGCTACAATCAATCATCCATTATGATCATTTTGAACAATTTCTTATATTCTTGTGAACCATGTCTTGCCAATAAATGTGGACAAACTTGTGAACATCCTTATGTGAAAGGTTTATTATCTGTGGAGAAAACTTCAGTGAGAATTACCAAAACAAGAGGTCTTCAAGGTATTGAAGGTGTTGGTAATGTTGATGGTCAATATCGTCTTATTATCGAAAAAATTCCCAATATTAGAAAAATATATACATTTGATAAGAATGGAGATCAAGAGATTTTATTTCATAAAGGTTCAAATGTTGATATCACAGCTAAAATTGGTAAATATGCTTATGATTTAGATCCATTCACTACTAGGGTTAAAATTTGTTCAAATAAAGAATATCTTGATGGTAATTCTGTTATACCATATGGACAAGCAAATTGTGTTTCTAATAATCTCAAAAGTTCTGTGGAATCTAAAGCTTTTGGTCAATTATACACTGACCCATCAAGAGTAAACAATGACAAATTTCCTTCAACAAGTGAACTTGAAAATTATTCATATTTTAATTCTAAAGGAGTATCTGATGAACCAATCATAATGAGACCTTTATCAAGAAGAGCAAAAATTCGTATTAAAGCTCTTGGAAATAGTTTAAGATATAATCAAAATGATAATCAAAATGATTGGATTGATAATTTAGATAATACAATTAATCATCTTCTTCAAAAACAATTTGAAGACGAAGAGAGAAAACAAAAACAAGTTGAGAATGAAGAGGAGGAGGAACAATTAAGAATTGAAATGTCATATGCCTCAAGTGCCCAAGGTCAATCTTTGAAGGAAAGATCAGTTATTGAATTGGAAGAAGATGAAGATGATGGTGATGGTCTTTATAAAGTTGAAAATAAAATAAAAAGTGGTAATGAGTCTGGAGATCTGGACTCAGAAGAGTTAAAGAATAAAATTGTTCAGAATCTTAAGGATATAAACAGTTCATCTAATAATCCACATCATTTGAATTCTCCAAGTTATAAAGTTGTTGGGTCTCCTATAAGATATACTGAAGAATCAATGAACTTATCAGGCATTGCATCTGTTGCTAATCTAAAACGTTCCTCCAGGGCTCCTTCAGTACCAGCACCTTCTTTTTCAAATGGTGATCATAATAATAATAAAGTTGAAGATTTAGAATTGTACTTACAGGAATTGAGCGTTTCCATGCAGAAACATTAATATTAAATCAAGCTGGTTAAACCAAAATCAGATCTGTCGAAAATGTATTTAGTTGTTTTGATCTATGAGTTTTTTGTTTTGATTGATCCAATCTAGTTCGAGTGATTGTAGACTGTTATAGGTGAAGATAACTTTGACTACATTATAACACTGCTACAGCTGAGTAATCGTAATAACTGTAGTAATAACACATAATCTAAACAGATTTTGGCTTATTTAATACTGAAAATTTTGAAAATCATGAAGCAAAAATATACTTAGATGTTGAGAGTTTTGGAAAAGAATTTCAGTTCTGAGATACACTAGAAAGATTTGATACGTCTAGACGGTGTATAGACAACTTTTAAGAGAGATTAAAACCATCATCTTCTTTATCAAATGGTGATCATAATATTTGAAGATTTCGAATCGTACTACAAACGCGAAACTAATTTGATAATTTTGAGATTAACCAACTACATGAAATGGTGAGTAAAATAGTCTGAATTGATTGATTTTGGATTCAAAAGATGGATATTTCACAGCGGTTATGAATTGTATTACTTCTTTGAAGGCTTTGATGGACTGAGGTGCTCTTTGCTGGTAGTTTCAACAGCTTGTTTTGTGCTTCTGCTGTTTCCATGGTGTTGTTTTTTACCAATTACACAAAGATGAAATCAACATATATGATTATTACTGAGAAATGGATGTATCAACAATGACAATTACTGAATAGGATCAAGAATCATCAATTCTGATTTTCAAACATTTGCTTAGAGTTGCTAGGAATTAGCTATTCGATCAATAGGATTTCCATTGTCAAAATCTCATAGTTCAATCAAATCCACATAATGATTTATGGTAAAAATTTCAAAGTATGTTGTAATAAGTGTTTCAATGATGGTAAAATAGAAAGTTGCAATGATTTTGATATCTTGGTCCCAACAAGTATTGAGTACAATGGCTCAAAAGGCTGTTTAGAACTTATACCAGTAAACTGGGAAGCTGGTCCAAATGATAGAGTTAACAACAAGAAAGTTCTAAATGATACCTATAAATACAAGTTTTATATTGTTTCAGCTGAATTACATCCTAAGCATAATGAATGGTGTCTCCAAAGTGATACTTTCAAATATAATTGTGATTCTCCTTGTTGTGAAACAAAACCAACTGATTTGTATCTTGATGATTCAAGTGTTATTTTCATGAAACTTCCTTACTTATATTTTCCTGAAAGAGTTTCAGATGTTGTTGAACTAGGTAGACAAATTATACCTAATGATTTACCAATAGAATATTTCAACAAGAAGTTTGATTATTATCCACTGCAACTTAAAGAATGTTATAATGATCATGATAAAGACAAAACATCTGTATCTCCAAGGTTTGAATCTGAAGATAAACTTGGTCCACAAATCCCAAATGCATTTGTTAAAAACAGTCAATACCAAACTGGTGATCATGTTAACGACCAAGAGAGTTCACTTGACGATACTGGAGATTATCAAAACATCCGTGATCTTGATCTAGAAAATATTAAGAAGACATTTAATAGTTTGAATGATGATTGGAAATTGCCTAACCCAAATGTTGATGAATACTACTATACAAACTGTGAAGGTGAAAGTAAAGATGAAGGATTACCAAGACGCTTCACAATAAATAAGAAAGAACTTGAACAAGAAATACTTGTCAATCGTTACAAACAACTCGTGAAGTATATGAAACATTTGAATAGTCAAGGTATTATAGAAGAAAATCAATTGCCATTACCTGAAAATCATGCAATGTATGAAATTCATGAAATAGAACAGAAATTTGAAGTTTCGAAAAAAGATCAATTTGATCTTCAAAGTAAACCATTATCTGATGATGATCACTACCAACAAATTAATATTTTACATAAGTATTTGCCTAAAACCATTTCAAACCATAATGGTGATTCAAATGATAGCACTAAACCTTCTAAGAAAAGAATGCGGCCAGATAGTGATTCAGATGCAGATTCTAGCTCTGATACAGGGGTGAATTCCAAAATGCCCAAGAATCCAAATAATTATTCAAATCTGAAGATTGATTTAGTTTCCACAATGCCATACGAGGGTAATGTTTCAGACTCAGATGACAATATGGTTGGATCAGACTCGGATGATGATGATGATCTCTTACAACAATTATCAAGCTTTTAAAATTGATCACATTATTTGTTTATTACGTGGAAATTTATTTATATTTTGTGTTGAACAAAAATTGTAGTACTCTAATATTCGAATGTGTCCCGTGACAATTATTGACGAACTTCACTACTTTCTAAACATTCGCCAGAACATTTCTTAGGTTGTCAATGGTCTATGAAAGGGTACATTATTTTGATGCTGGCTCATTCTGCTAATTGTTGGTTATTCAGTTGATTCTCATCTTGAACTCTCCACAAACCCCTGAATTTTTGAGCTCTTTTTCATCGGTATATACTTTGATCATGATGAAATCACTACAAAATTCAAATTACTCAATAAAATGAGGGCTTTTTGTTCAAAATGGCTATAGTATTTTCTGTCTAAGGATATGCGTATATAAGAAGCGTTGGGATCCTTCATTTGCATAAAACCTGAGATCGTTTAAATTCCCCAGTTACATTAGAGATACAAGTCATAGAGATTAAAGCTATAGTATACAACAAATAACAAAGAATAATCAACGAAGAACTATATCAAACATGGTTTATGGAAAACACATCAAGGTTTCCTGTCAGGTTTGTATTATAGGTCATGGGACCAAATCGTGTAACCATAAATCCATCATTGAATCAGACAATCCAGGATATAATGGACACAGAGGTTGTTTAGAAGTCATTTCCAAGAAAGGAAGAAGAAAATCAAGAATCCCAGATCGAATTGATGGTGTTGGAAACACAAATGATGATACTATAACATTAAATCCCAATAATGATAAATTTATCTTGATTGAAGCCGAATTGATTCCTAAACTTAATGAATGGTGTCCAAATAGTCAAAACTTTAGATATGAATGTGATTATCCGTGTTGTAAGAAAATATCAAAAGATTTATACATCAATGAGGAAACTTCTAGTTTTTTAAGAGTTCCACACTATTGTGACCTTACTTCAATTGAAGATGCAAAGAAGATTGGAACACCTGTTAGTTATAAAGATTTGCCAACTGAGTTTTTGAATAATGATGTAAACTTCCATTCTATTGCTAAACTTTATCCAGATAAATCAGATTATCCAATTCAAACGGTCAATCCATATGCTGAAACAGTTCTTAAACCAAATCCACAATCAACTAGCGACGAATCATTGAATGTTCAATCCAGCAATAATAGCAGTATATCTGCAACACTCAATACTAATCCAATCATTCCGTCTTATAGTGCAGAATTGAATTATCAAGTTCCTGATGTTTCTCTCATTGTCCCGTTGAATTCAAATTCAAATGGAAGCACTAATCAACAACATCATAATAATCAAATCATCAATCAAAATAATTATCAAACTCAATATCAACAAAATAATAATCATTATAATAGGCTTAATCAATTTAGTCATCAAAACAATAATCAAATCAATTATCAATATCAGTTGAATGATTATCAAAATAGAAACTATCAATATCAATATAATCTCCAAAATCAATATAATTATCAGAATAATAGTCACATCAACAATCACAACGTCAATAATACCCATTATTTTAACATCAATGGTAACACCAATCAGAACAATAATGCTATTAATCACAACACTCAACACTTTGTTAGTTTAAATGGTTTGAACAATCTTGCTTATCATAATCATTTAGCTGCAAATAACAGTCAAAGCTTGCCTTTGAGAAATCCAATGATATCTAACCCAAGACCTTATCAACCATCAATCCAATCTAATCCAATTATTCCAAACAATTGTAATAACTATGGAACCAGCTCCCAACAATTAAATTTTGTTTTTGAAGATCCATCCAAATATTCTGATGATGATTGTGAAGAAGATAGTGAAGATGATAGTGATACCATTGTGGTTGATCATGATAATTATGGAAATAAAGGTAATGGTTATGATTATGATGAAGCTGATTCTTTTTTATTAAAGTATGCACCAGCTTTACAAGAATTTAATAATAACTCTGAGTAAAATGATCAGTAAAATTGATATTCAACTTGAATAGTTTCAAATAGATTACATGTATAAAGATTTATAATAACTTTAATGATTTGTCTTATTTGACCTCTTCGTAGACGTTTGTTTATATACGCGCGAACTTCAAAGGAACTTCAAAGGAACCCGTGCGTACAGCTAAGCCAATAAAAATCAAAACAAGAAGCATCATATCTGACCATTTTCCTTTTAGCAGCTGAATTAACAAAGTGGTCTAACGCTAAAGGTTGATATTGAAAACGCAATATTAGTACTTAGATAACTTCTACTGGATCTAATATCTTGTTTGTTCTTGCCTCCTTTCCATCGGTTTCGTCTTTCATCAAGGACTTACAACTTATGGTATATTACTGATACTTACTACTGGTATGTTATGTCATCAAATGAAGGACAAGTTTTATCTTTGAAATGCCTACCTTGAGGTTCTTATATTGGGGCAAATTAATCATCTGTTATTTTAGGTTTAAATGTGGGATTTTAAATTGACATGGCATTAATTTGGTAATTAATTTCATTTTTGTGTCACAATGATATTGGATTAATCTTAATCAAAGTGATTACATGCATATCAAATCATTGCATGAGCAAATTACACAAAGATAGAAGCTCTAGTTATATCTAAAAATAGTTATTTTTAGGTCGGCTGCTTTTGTGACACAATAAATCTTTTTGTGTTTTATGACGTTTATTGGTTTTGTGTTTTACAAACTGAAAAAATATAAAGACATTAATATTTTCCCTTTTTTTCATTTCTACTTTCTTCTTTTTTATTTCTTGATCCAATCATTAGTCCTTTTTTATGCTCATTGGTGATTATCCAGGGGTTGAATCTCCGTTATGAGTTCCAGTCGTGATCCATAGCTCCAGAGATTACCTGTTTATATTAGTTTTAAAATGTTTCGAGGTGTTTTTCAAATCTTCAAGTCAGATGTGTATCATCCCCTTATATGAGTTGATTATGGTTATGTGATTTAGTTTCAACCTTGTCATTTAAGACATAGACCTTTTAGAAGTATTATATCTTACTTTGGGAAATTACTTCTTTTCATCCAGTCTTGGTTATTTCATTACAGGTTGTTAAAATATTAGATGATTGATGACGATGTCACATTGAGCAATATATAGGGTGTGCCGGCCTGGTTTTTGTAATTTGTGGTTCAGATTCATGATTCTTTTCTAGACATGACTTTGAAATCATATCATCATATGGTTCAAAACTCATCATAAACACTTATCATTTCCTTTTGGTGTTATTAGTATTTGGGGACCAGCTCAGCAGTTACTTTTAATTTACAATTAAACTCCATATACTTTTAACTTTCAAGTTTGGAGGACTTTGAAGCTTTGATTATACTTATGATTGTACAGGGTAGTACCTTCATTATCATATGTTTTCACCAATCAAGGTCCATTAGTTATAGCTATAGCCCTGGCTGTCGTTATTCATTATGTTGTTGCTGAAGGCCGATGATTGACAAGATTGATATATCTGGAACTTTTAGGATATTAACATTTGAGGCTGCAATATTTATGATGCACACATAGCTGTGATTGTCTTGATACATTAGTGGCATTTTTATGAGAGAAATATGTCCAAAAATAAATCACTTGGTGGAAGTTGGATTGACTAATTTAACTTATGAGATCGAAACTTTGGGAATTTATGCACTTTATGAAAACTTGAAAACTTAAGATCATTTAACTATAATACAATGTCAACTTAGTGAACCAATGCAAAAGTCACCATTAAAGATTAAACTTTCTTATTGCTCATTTTGTTATTGAAGCTAGCAAAAGGACTACAATGATGCTTTTAATCTTTGATATGATAATATGGGTAAAATATTTATTCAAGTTTGATTCTCTGGTCACAGTTAGACTAGACCAATTCAAATCTCAAAAAGACATTTTACAGAACAATCAAGAAATAAGCTTTACTAGACCCAAAGAGCTTCCAATTGTATGGAAATCTAATTTTGATAAATCTATATCATCTACCTCCCAATGAGCTAATACGGGAAGAAAAATACCTTTATCTTTATGAAATTTAAAGGTCTTTGTGAAATTACGCTCTATGACAAATTGGGGTGAGAGGTGAAACTATTGAATGATAATTAAGGCATTAAGACGTCATTCGCCATTCACCAATTTATCCAACATATTTAAAATCATCTAAGTTTATAAGGAACATGGACACAAAGTACAATCTAGAAAATAAGATAATTTCATTTCGGCTCATCTATAGTTTTGGTGGGCCAAAAATTAAACATCAGATGGGATAATTATGTGTGATCCCCCAAACCACGTCTATAACACAGAAATACCAGATTACCCAAAAATGAAAGGATATCTATAGAATTTATGGGAGCGGGATTTTTGGTTGAAAGATATTCACCGATCTCCCCCAACTTTTCATATTTGGTGATTCTAATAAATCAGAGGTCTGATAGTTCAACCATATACAAATAATCCAGAATCACCATATCCAAAGTTTTTGAAATTCAAAATTTGAGGTAAAATATAACCGTGATGAAAGTATACGTGTCTTGCATGAGATTTTTGGTTCATCGATTGAACAATTTCTATTTGTGAAGACACGAAAATATATCCAAGAGTTATATGTCATATGATCATCTAAATTCATAAGGAACATTTACAGATCAGTACAATCTAGAAAATAAAGGTGTTTTCATTTTGTACTGTACATATCAACTTTTGGATAGCGTTGAACTGTCCAATATTCATTCAAATTATGGTTGTCATTCCAATTCAGCTGATTAACTGCACATAAATCTATAAATATACGGCAAAAATCTCGACGTAGCAGTTGATCATGAATCCTAGCTTAAGTTCAATTTAAATTCAGGATATAGATCAGTGTTATTTTTAAATTGAAGCCCTAAGTCACGTGATATGATTTTAATTTCAATTTATCTTTTGTTTTATGTATGAAAAGTATAAACTGATGAATCTTTTTACAAAATGAAGATATCTTATCTTTAAATTCTATTTAACCGATATTTTTTGTTAACAATCATTGCAATCAATCGCTTATTTGATCTTTTTGATGGTTATTTGATCTTTTGTAATTGCTTATCTCGATTGAAAATTCGCCGTGAAAATTGAAAAAGTCCGTACATTATTAAAACATTGAAGAAGACAGTACCAAGATAATAATTTTATCAATTTAACCAGTCGTAACTTCCAATTATCAATTATGTCTGTCAAAAGAGCCATTACTGCACTCCAAAAATATTATCCTATTAGATACGCAGAAAATTCATGGGATAATACAGGTTTATTAATTGATTCATTAAATACTACAAGTTCAAAAATTTCGATATTATTAACTATTGATTTAACAAAATCAGTTGTTCAAGAAGCTCTTGATAAAAAAATTTCATTAATTATTGCATATCACCCTTTCATTTTCAAAGGTATTAAAAAAATTGAACCTTATTCAAATCCACAACATGATTCTTTAGTTAAATTGATTCAAAATGGTATTAGTGTTTATAGTCCACATACTGCTATAGATGCAGCAAATGGTGGTGTTAATGATTGGTTAATTGATGGTGTTACACAGGGGTTGATTAAAGAAAAATCAATTATAATTCCAAATGATGAAGATCCAACAACCATTGGAATGGGTAGATTTGTTAAATTATCCCAGGAATTAACTTTATCACAATTAATTAACAATACAAAATCATTATTAAACTTGAAATATATTCAATTATCAAGTTTAGGATCCAAACCAGAAGATAAAAAAATTTCCACGATTGCAGTTTGTGCAGGTTCAGGTTCAGGTGTTTTCAGTAAATTGAAAACCTCTGCAGATTTATATATAACTGGTGAATTAAGTCATCATGAATTATTGGCATTAAAAGAATCAGGATCAAATGTCTTGATTGTTAATCATAGTAATAGTGAACGTGGATATTTACAAATTGTTAAAGAGAATTTGGAGAAAGAATTACAAGAATTTGATATAATCATTAGTGAAACTGATATTGATCCATTACAAGTTGTATAATCACCTTAAACCCAGAGATCAGAGAAATAAAATATTTTCTACGTTATCTTTTTGATTCAGATTTGTATTCTTTGGTAAATTCTTTGGCTGCATTATATTTCTTTTTGTTGCATTGTTGAAACTCTTCGTAAATTTTGGTTAACTATACAAAAAATGTTTTGTACTCGGTGAAATCCATATAAATTCTCGGGTTTTCAAAAAGATAAGATAACAAAAAAAAATAAGCAATGAAATTTTAATCAATCAAGCATTGAAAATTCTATAAAACATGGAAAGAATCCATAAAACAATGAAATACTCATCATCAACAACTACATCATCATCATCATGGTTAATATGTTGGATTTAAAATCAACTCCTCAAAGGATTTTCAAAAAATTCACTACAAAATCAGGTCTTATAGGTGATTATAACTATGCACATTTATTCACACCAAAATTACCATTTAAAAAAACTTCAAAAGATACAATTCAACCATTTTTTGGTTTAAATAGTGATATGCCAATTGTCTTGGGATTTTTATTGGGTTTACAACATGCGCTATCAATGCTTGCAGGTGTTGTATCACCACCAATTATAATTGCTTCAGCTGCAAATTTAGATACAGAATCTTCACAATATTTAGTTAGTGCTTCTTTAATAATTAGTGGACTTTTATCATTAATTCAAATTACAAGATTTCATATCATTGGAACAAAATATTATGTTGGTACAGGTTTAGTTTCAGTTGTGGGGACAAGTTTTGCTACAATTACTATTGTTAATAAAGCATTCCCAATGATGTACAAGACAGGTATGTGTCCAACTGCAGAAGATGGCACCATGTTACCATGTCCTGAAGGATATGGTGCTATATTAGGGACTGGTTGTATTTGTGCTCTATTGGAAATTTTATTATCATTCATGCCTCCAAGAATATTACAAAAAATTTTCCCAAATTTGGTTACAGGTCCAGTTGTCTTGATTATTGGTATTCATTTAATTGGTACTGGATTCCAAGATTGGTTAGGTGGTAGTGGATGTTCATCAGGAAAGACTTTATGTCCTTCAGATTCAGCTCCTCATGCATTATCTTGGGGGTCTGCAGAATTTATTGGTTTGGGGTTTTTAGTATTTGTTGTTATTATTATATGTGAAAAATGGGGTGCACCAATAATGAAATCATGTGCAGTTATTATTGGTTTATTAGTGGGGTGTATCGTGGCAGCTGCTACAAATTATTTTGATCGTTCAGGTATTGATAAATCACCAGCTGTTACATTTCTTTGGGTTCATACTTTTAAATTAAGTGTTTATGGTCCTGCAGTTTTACCAATGCTTGCTACATATATTGTATTAATGATGGAAGCTATTGGTGATATTACTGCAACTTGTGATGTATCAAGATTAGAAACTGATGGTGAAATATATGATTCAAGAATTCAAGGTGGTGTTTTAGCTGATGGATTAAATGGGTTATTAAGTTGTTTAGGTACAATGACTCCCGTATCAACATTTGCACAAAATAATGGTGTTATTTCAATAACAAAATGTGCAAATAGAATGGCTGGTTATTGGTGTTGCTTTTTCTTAATTATTATGGGAGTTTTTGCAAAATTTTCTGCTGCATTAGTTTCAATTCCAAAAGCTGTATTGGGTGGTATGACTACGTTCTTATTTACTTCAGTTACAGTATCAGGATTAGCTATTATTTCAAGTGTTCCATTCACAAGAAGAAATCGTTTTGTCTTGACATGTTCATTATTATTTGGACTTGGTGCTACATTAGTTGATGATTGGTTTTCAAATGTTTTTACATATTCAGGTGATAATAAAGCATTACAAGGATTTTTAAATGCAATTGTATTAGTCTTGGAAACAGGTTATGCATTAACTGGGTTTGTTGGAGTTATTTTAAATTTATTTATATCTGAAGAACCTGAACCTGAAGAAACTACTTATCTAGAGGGTGAAGAAACTCATGAATTAAGTGATCAAAGTGTTATTGAAGGTGGTTCTGATAGTATAGGTTTTGATAAACAACAAGGTTCAAAAATTGATGTTAAATAAATAAATATAAGCATGGTGTTTTGTAAATATATAGGTTAGAATTAATATATAAATATTCAATTGGTTTTTAAATTAAATAAAATTGTAGTTTAATTAAAAGATGTATAAGATCAGTATTAATTCCCAATGCGGTAATATCATATGTTGACTTCCCGATGTGGTAATTAAAATGATATATATCTAATATTATTACCAATTATTTCAAAATTTAATGAAACAATATGATATATGGGTAAAACTAATAGGTTTATAACGATTTCAATAACTTTAAGATTGAATTTCCAACTGGTTTACCTATTATAACACATACTATATTCTTGAAGTTAAATTCGCGTATAATTTTAGACCATATTAAATTGTACCCATCAACTAAATCAAATATACCCAAAATACCAAATATATCTAAACCTACCAACAATGAATGATAAATTATTAATAATAGGACCACCAAATTCAAATAAATTCACTCTTTTACAAAAAATTTTCCAAAGTATACCAAAAATACCCAAATCTCAATCTCATCAAGGTTTAATCCATCCAATACTTTTAGAAACAAAACATTATTCTACAAAGATAGATATATGGATTGATGAATATTCATCAATGAAAGAATGGTCTGAGGGGTTTATGAGTGATGAAGCTCGGGAGGTTAGAGAAGTTATAAATGGAATAATATGGTGTTTTAAATTTGATCAAGGTTTTATACAAATTGAAAATGAATTAAAAGAATTTATGAAATTAATTGAATGTTTTAGGGATGATAATGAAGGTGAATGGGGAGGAATGATTGTGGCAATGGGGAAAGGTGAAATTGAAGAAGATGAAAGATTGAAGTATGAAGATTTATTTATAATTAATGGGATTGAGTTTATAGATTCTTCACAGGAAGGTCGTAATGAATTTAATGAATTACAAGGGTTCTCTAGAGTTAGAGAAATTATTGAATGTCATGATTGGGATATCCAGGATATGAAAGAGGCTACAGAGAATAGTAACATAGGGGCTGATGGGTTTGAAATTGATGATATTTTAAATAAATTGGAAGGAGCTAAACAAGATGTATTGGAATTACCTGATGATGAAAAGCATGAATATATAATGAAATTTATTGAAAATTTAAATCTTTGAAATATGCAAATTTGAAAGTATGTGTTTTAATTCTTTTGAAAAGAGTTTAATTTAGCTGATCGCTAAATCAAACTTTGTTTAATCCTGTTTACTTGATTCAATTTTAAAAATTTTAAAGACTAATCTCTTGTATAAATAAAATTTTGTTGGTATGAAAAACAATAAAACCATTTTAATAAATCCAATTATCTTTGAAGAATCAATATAACGTAAACTTAAAAACAATGTTAAGAATTCCAATATAGAACTTAATGGAAACAATACCAATTGTAAATTTTGAAATAAATTATAAATAGTTATTGGAATTTTACCAAAATTTTTCAATTTCCAAAACCAATATAAATAACCAATAAACCCAAATGTTGACCAACTAAATATTAACAGTGAATAACAACTATGATTTAATAATAATGATTCCTTATTTTCCTGGAATATAAATACAACAATGAAAATTTTTAACCAATTTTGTAATAACACAAGAGGTAATTGTAATGGAATCAATTTAAAAAGACTTAGAACAATCTCTAAAGAACAAATAATCAATGTAACTTTATTAAAAAAATCTCCCATACCACCTGATAAAAATTTCCTACCAACTAAAGGTAATAATATAAATAATCTTAATAATATAGCAAAATACATGAATAATGAAATTGCATTAAAAGTTTTCAAGGATTTGTAAATGAAAGGAGATTCTCTTAGATTGATTTTCTGTGGCATTTTGAACTATTGATCTATTGATATCTATGGTTTATTGGTTCATTGGTTTCCAGGAATTGTTTTGATATTTAAATGATTAATATTCTCTTTGACACGTAAAATAAAAATTCAAAATCGCGGTTGATGGTTTTTGTTCTCATGGAAATTGAATCAAAAAAGATCTGATATTTGATCAACAAAGGAGAAATCTAGGTGATTTATTGGATTTCATTGATTAATAATATCATATTCATATTCCTCTGTGGCTGATTATGAGATTCACTTTTTTCCTTGGGTTCTTAGCCCTCTTTATGACCGTGTTAGCATGGTCAGTTGAAGATCAAGAAATATTCAAAATTCATCATGAATTACAAAAAGATTATCCAGGAACGAATTTTTATGAATTTTTCCAATTAAAACAAGGTCCAAAATCAAATTGGAAAGAGATTAATAGGCAGTTCAAGAAACTCAGTGTTAAATTCCATCCTGATAAAGTTAAAGGTGGTTCTAAAACAAAGAAATTAGCATTGAAAAATTATGAAAGATTAAGTGTTATTGCAAATATCTTGAAAGGTTCTGGTAAAGAACGTTATGATTTCTTCTTGAAGCAAGGATTCCCCAAATATAAGAATAATCAATTCTTGTATGAACGTTTTAAACCAGGTATGATTTTCACTGGTGTTTTCTTGTATTTAATTATTGGAATTGGTCATTATGTTATCCTCAAGATATCAACAAATCAACAAAAACAAAGAGTTGAAACATTACTTGAACAATTGAAAGGTTATGCTATACAACAAAGTTCTAATGGGATTATAACAGAACCAAGAAAATATAAATTAGAAAATTATGAACTCCCTTTTTTGGTTAGAATTGATGGTGTATTTATTATACAAGATGAAGATAACCAAGTGTTGACTAGGATAACAACTGATGATATCTTGACACCACGAGTACAAGATTCATTGTTGATTAAAGCACCATTATGGTGTTGGAATCAAACATTTGGTAGAATTTCATCTCTAAAATATGAAATTAAACCACAACAAGTTGAAAATCATACTGAAGAACCTATTCAAGAACCAAAGAAGAAGAAGAAACCAAAAGGAGAGAAACTGGTGTTGCCAAATGGGAAAGTTGTGTATGGAAAGAAGAGTAAATAGAATATAAAACAGTATTTTTGTGATTGTTTTGTAGTGCAAGTTTATACCTGATTGGGAAATTTTCCGATTACCGTTGGGATTATCAACGGTTATATGAAAGGGAAGTCAAAGCAGAGAACAACAACAGAACAACGAAAAAAAAGATAAACTAACAATACAATACAATATACACTACTCTATTACTCTATTATCACTCTTATTCCTTCATTATTACCTTTAATTTCATCGTTTTATTTCAATTATTTACCCAAAAAGTCACGTGCCGGCTGGTAATTTGAATTAATAAGCCATTTAATACCCAACTGATAAAATTAAATCTCGAGATAAAATTGATTGTGAAAGGGAAAAGTGAACTGAGAGATTGATAATATATTCTAAAAGAAATAAAGTTATTGTTTATACAAAGTTACCACCCATCAATTGTTATTACCTTCATTCATTAATTTCATTGTGGTTAATTTGGCTGCCTTTTATATCCACAAATCCACAATTTTATACGGTGAAAATTTATCAAGTGAATCTAAATTTTTTAGTTTAAACATTATTTAATTAAAACTTTAGTGATTTATTGGATTATTGGATTTATAACGCTATTCATTGCTTCATATTAGCTTTATACTTGCTATTCACTGCTACTTAGTCTTTCATTACTAATACTCTTTAAGCTCATCTTTGTGACCCATAATCATGGGTCTTTTATCTTTAGGTACTCCATTACCATGGGAAGAATCAAGACAATATTCAAATCATATTAGATCAAATGGTTTAGAACAACTAATCAATATGTTTAATGCTGCTTCCAAACGCCAGGATGATCCATTCTTATGGGGTGATGAATTAGAATATATTTTGGTTCAATTCAATAACAACACTCATAGAGCAAAAATTAATATTGATAAAGATTATATATTGGAAGATTTAAATAAACCTGGTCATTGTGAATATGATTTAGCTTTAAGAAACAATACAAATTTCCATCCAGAATATGGTAGATTTATGATTGAAGCTACACCAATAAAACCTTATAATGGTGAATCATTGAATGATTATTTATTTGTTGAGGAAAATATGACAAAAAGAAGAATTATTGCATCAAAAGCAATAAATAATCCTGATATCATACCATTAACAATAACTTCATATCCATTAATGGGGATTGGAAATTTTACTGAACCTCCATCTCAACCAAATGGTGATGCTTCAAAATCTTTATTTTTACCTGATGAAATTATAAATAGACATGTTAGATTCCCAACTTTAACTGCAAATATTAGGAAAAGAAGAGGTGAAAAAGTGGCAATAAATATTCCAATGTATCAAGATGAAACTACGGCAAAATTTGATGAATCAATTCCATTAAATAGAGGTTTATTCTCTGAAGATGAAGAACCAATCTTGGGTGCTGCATTAGCAGGTCATATTTATATGGATTCAATGGGATTTGGTATGGGTTGTTCATGTTTACAAGTCACTGTTCAAGCTCCAAATGTTAATAAAGCAAGATATCTTTATGATTCTTGGGCAAATTTAGCTCCAATTTTCCTTGCTTTATCAAGTGCAACTCCTATCTTAAAAGGTCATTTAGCTGATCAAGATGTTAGATGGAATGTTATTTCAAAATCTGTTGATGATAGAACTGCTTATGAACGTGATGTTGAACCTTTAAGACCAGGTAATGAATTTGGTGGTGTAAAATTGGAAGATCAAGGGAAAGTACAAAAAATTCCAAAATCAAGATATGATTCAATTGATTCTTATTTAGGTGATAAATTAGATGATGATGATACCTACAGGTTCTTCAACAATGAATTAAATGATAATAATCAACCATTAAATGAATTAGTCCTAAAGAAATTAATTTCAAACAAAGATAAACATTTTGATTTACCTTTAGCTCAACATTTTGCTCATTTATACATTCGTGATCCATTAGTTATATTTAATGAACGTATAAATCAAGATAATTTAAGTGATACTGATCATTTTGAAAATATTCAATCAACAAATTGGCAAACTATTAGATTTAAACCTCCTACTCAAAAAGCTATTCCAACAAATCATGATACACCAGGTTGGAGAGTTGAATTTAGATCAATGGATATTCAAATTACAGATTTTGAAAATGCAGCTTTTGCAACTTTTATTGCACTTTTAGGTCATTCATTCTTATTGAATTCTGAAGAATGGAATTTTTATATACCAATTTCTAAAATTGAAGAAAATATGTCAAGAGCTCATTTTAAAAATCCAATTTTTTCAACAAAATATTTCTTTAAAAAAGATATACATTCACCAGGGTTTGAAATTGATGAATTAAGTATTAATGAAATTATTAATGGTTCTTCTCAATTCATTGGATTAATCAAAATTGTGGAAAATCATTTGAAAACTCAATATAATATTGAAATATCATCAAATGGACCATATTCAAGATTTTATTATTATTTAAAATTAATCTCTGGTAGAGCATCAGGTGAATTAATTTCTCCTGCTAATTATATTAGATATTTTGTCCTTGGTCATGAAACTTATCAAAAAGATTCCAAGATTACAGAAGAGATAAATTTTGAATTATTAGAAAAATTGAATAGAATTTCTAAATATGATGATTCCCAGGGTGAATTGAGTGAATTTTTTGGTAATGAATTAAGTTTATATCTTGTTGAAAATAAAGTTAATTCTGAAGTTTAATATCATATCTGTTGTTGTTCATATTTGTTGTTTATTTGTATTAATTAATTAATTTATAGATCATTGCATAATATTATAATATATATACTACATTGTTTAGCCTTTTGTAATTCATGAGGAAATCCGTTGAGGATGCATTATATTAATTTTTATAAATTTGTTTATATAGACCATAACCTTCATTAAAACCCTTAATGTTTAAAAAGCAAATAAAATAACAATAGATGTATAAGTGATAAAAAAATGTAATAATATATATATATGAATATGCAGTTGATGCAATACTCTAAGATGAGACTTTTATTTTCTAAATTATGAATAAAACGTTATGGACATTAGAATTGAACAGGTAATGATATTTGTTTAATAACGGTAATGATCAGCTTTAAATGGACCATTAACTGGAACACCTAAATATTCAGATTGAACATTAGTTAAAGTTGTTAATTTAACACCTAAATGTTTTAAATGGAATTTAGCAACAGCTTCATCTAAAACTTTTGGTAAAACTGCAACAGTACCTTTTTCAAAAGGACCAGATTTACCAAATTCTTCATGTTTTGATCTAAATTCTTTATCATTAGCTTTAAATAATGCAATTTGTGCTAAAACTTGATTTGAAAATGAACATGACATAACAAATGATGAATGACCTGTAGCACAACCTAAATTAACTAATCTACCTTCAGCTAATAAAATAACATGACGACCATTTTTCAATAAATAACGATCAACTTGAGGTTTAATATTAACAACATCAACTGCATTAGCTTTTAATGATGCAACATCAATTTCAATATCAAAATGACCAATGTTTGAAACAATAGCATCTTCTGGCATAGCATCAAAATGTTTTTGAGTAATAATATCTCTACAACCAGTTGTAGTAACGAAAACTTGACCAATTGATGCAACTTCATCTAATGGAGCAACTTGATAACCTTCAACAGCAGCTTGTAAGGCATTAATTGGATCAATTTCTGAAACAATAACACGAGCACCCATACCTCTTAAAGCCATAGCACAACCTTTACCAACATCACCAAAACCAGCAACAACAGCAACTTTACCAGCCAACATAACATCAGTAGCACGTTTAATACCATCAATTAATGATTCTCTACAACCATACAAGTTATCAAATTTTGATTTGGTAACTGAATCGTTAACATTAATAGCTGGAACTTTTAAAGTAGCATCTCTAACCATTTTGTATAAATGATGAACACCAGTAGTAGTTTCTTCAGATAAACCAAAACAATCTTCCAACATTTCTGGATATTTTTCATGAACTAATGAAGTTAAATCACCACCATCATCTAAGATTAAATTTAATTTTTTACCATCTTTGAAAGAGAATAATTGTTGTTCAATACACCATAAATATTCTTCATCAGTTTCACCTTTCCATGCAAAAACTGGAACACCAGCAGCAGCAATTGCAGCAGCAGCATGATCTTGAGTAGAGAAAATGTTACATGATGACCAAGTAACTTCAGCACCTAAAGCAACTAAAGTTTCAATTAAAACAGCAGTTTGAATAGTCATATGTAAACAACCAGCAATTCTAGCACCTTTTAATGGTTGTTCTTCACCATATTGTCTTCTGATTTCCATTAAACCTGGCATTTCATTTTCTGATAATTCAATTTCTTTTCTACCGAAAGCGGCTAAAGAGATATCAGCAACTTTGTAGTTGACAGCTGGAGCAGACATTGTTATTGTAATAGTTTGTTGTTAATTCAATTGAATCAATTATTGTTGATTTGATCAAGATTTGATTACTTGTCAAGTTCAAAAACGTTTTTTCAAAAAAATTTATACGAAAAAAAAAAAAATCAACACATGTGAAAAAAAAATTGAGGAAATTTACCCGGATTTTAGATCTGATATTTAAATCATATAAGTAAATGAGATTTCAATTTACAGACTTTTTCATCTAAATTTATAATAATCTTTATTCAAAATATACAATTTATATGTAAAACAACAAACAGAAAGGAATAGTTCATCTAGTATTTATATGGGGGTATAATCTTTTAGTAAAGGAATGTTCAAATCTTCTCTTCATGATCATCAAATTCTTCAACAATTTCACCATTTTCTGATCTATTATTCAAATATTCTTGAGCTGCTGCATTTTTTGTAACTAATTCGACAATTCTTCTAACTTTTGGCAGATTCAACCAAGCTGGAACATATGCTTCAACTCTTGAAAAAGGTCTTAAATCTGTTAATCTAAATGGATCTTTAAAACTACCATCTTTTGTAACAGGTTCAAAGAAATCATCTGAACTTGATCCTTGAGTTTTAACTCTTTCTGCAACTGCACCTAAAACTTTTTCATCTAATGGAGCTTCATAATCGGCAACTGCATATTGTGATAATAATTTTTGAACTTGAACTGGTTTTAATGCATAACAAATTTCAAAAATAATTTCAATATCTTCAACTGAACCTTTTCTTAATTGTAATAATTTAGCAGCTTGTAATAAATGAATTAAATAATTTGATGCATCTGGAATTTCATGTGATTTACACCATTCTTCAATTCTTGTAACATTATAATTTAATTGTAAACCACGTTTCCATGATAAATAATTACGTTTCATAATTAAATCATTAAAACAAACAGCATCAATATATCTTAAAATTTCAATTATAACTTCATTCATAACTTCTGGTTCTATATAATAAGTTTTCATAGCCCAATAAACATTATTGAAAAAACTCAAGATATCATCCATTTTATATTGATTACTTTGTGAAAACATTTTGGAAAATAATGGTGCAGATTCAGTAGTCATGAAACCAGGTAATGATTGTGATAATACAACAGCTGATATAACTTTTTTTTCTAAATCTTTTTCCATTTTTCTCATCCACATATTATAAATATTATAAGATAATGAATCAAAATCTTCTTTAACAACTGCAACTAATTTTAAATATTCTTGATATTCTTCTTCACCCATTTCACTCGATATAGTTTCATTTTCTAATATAGTCATTTCAGCATATGAAACAAATGAATATAATTCATGAGTATTTGATAACCAGAACGCACCATGAGGAACAATATCGTCATCTTTTAATCCATGAACAATACTTTGAATTTGTCCTAAAACTTCACCAAGGAATTCTTCAGATTCTTTTGTTAAACCAAGTCTCCACATATCACTTAAAATAATAATCATAATTCTTGCAGGGAATAAAACTTCCTTTTTAGTTAAATCTGCCATAACACCAGCCATTGGAATTTTTAAATTTTTCAATAAACCTTGAACAATTTCGGTATGTAATGTTTTAGAATCTTGTAATAAAGCATATAATTCATTTGTAATTGCAGATAATGAACTTAATGTAGATTCAGCATCATCTTCTTGATTTGTAATCGGTATAACTGAAACTGGTTTTGGACTATAATTATTACTTTCATCATCATGAGCTGGTGATTGTTGACTGAAACGTCTTGATCTTTTTGGTGTTGTATTATTATTACCAAGTGATCTTGAAGATGAAGGTGGTGCATGACGACCACTTGCAACTTGTTTTGTCAAAATATCTAATTCATTTTTCAAAGTGGAAATTTGTTTCTTTAAATCATCTTCATTGTTTTCATGTTTTAATAATTCGTCCTTTGCATGATTTAATTGTTCAAAAGTTTCTTTAACTTCATTCTTCAATTGAGTTTGTAATGAAGTTAATTCTTTAATTTTTTCAGTTGCTTGTTCTAAATCAACTTTAGATTTATTCAATTCATTATTTAAATCTTCAATTTCTTTTGAGTGTGAATCAGCTTGTTCAGTGAATTTTTGTTGATGACCTAATTCTCTAGTTTTCAAATCTTCATGAGTTTTATGAGAATCTTCAAGTGATTGTTTTAATGATTCTAATTCTGCAGTTAAAGATTTATTTTCTTTAACTTTAGTAGTTAATGAAGTTGTTAATTCAATCACTTTATTTTCTAATTTATAACTTGCTTCTTTCAATTTATTAACAGATTTAGCATCAGCTTTCAATTGTTTTAATTGAATTTTAGCTTTTTTACTTCTATGAGCAGATTGTGTTAAAACTGCAGCTTTTCTTAATTTTTGATATTCAGATTTTTCTTTAAAAGATCTTAAAGATTTTTGAATAACAATTGCATGATTATGTTTTTGTTGTTCCAAAAATGTAATTCTTGATTGTTTAGCACGAATTAAACCTTGTAATGCAATGATTGAAGTTGAAGCAGAAGTGAAATATTTACGTGCAATATAACCTCTAATTAAAGTTTGAATACTTGTTGCAGCATTATTTTCAATTTCTTTTTGAACATTATTTCTTGTATTGAAACCAATTAATAATGATTGTAATTTTATAATTGATTCTCTTGCTTCTAAAAATCTGCGACGATAATAAAATTTTCTAATAATTTTTTGAATCAGAGTTGCAGAATTATGTAATTTTTCAGTTCTTAATTTTTCTAAATGAGCCAACATACCAGCTTTGAAGAAAATCTTTGTAAGACCTAATTGATATTTTTCTTGTGAATCAACAGTTTTTTTCAAAATTGAATCACAAATTTGACGAACAGTATCACTATCAGCAGTACCACTCAATATACTTTCAAATTCATTTGATCTTAATAAAACATGATATCTATTACCAAATTCTTCATATGTCCATCTTGATGGGAAACCTGCACATGAAATTTTAATAGTTTCTAAAACACCACAAGCTCTTAATTGAGATAAAACCATTAATGGATCAAATTTCCAAGCAGCTTTTTCTTCATTTGGTTTAATACAACGAATATAATGAACATTTGTTGAATTGATTGTGGACATTAATTCAATCAATGAATTCTTGAACATTGAACCTAAAGTTGGTTTTCTATTGACGGTTCTTGCAGGACCTGGTCTTTTATTGGCAGCTTGTGCAGCTGCAGCTTCTTCTTTTTCCTTGTTGGCAGCTTCTGCAATCTTATCTAAATTATCCAAGATTTCCACTAATAATTCATTTTTAGATTCTTTTAAAACTTCTAAATGACCATCAGAAACAGTATCTCTATTTTTTTCAATAAAACCTTCAATATCATAAGTAACATCAAGTGCATAATGAGAAACAATGAATTTAGTTTGACCAAATCTTGGTTTTTTGAAAACTTTATCAGTTGGTGGTTTATCTAAAGTTTGATATAATTTTGTAACCCAACTTTCATCATTACCTGCAGGTAATCTTGATTCTTCATCTAATAATGATAATATACCTAATTTTTTTTCAATAAGATCAATACATGGTTGATTATCACTAAATTCAATAAAAGACCATTCAATTTTTTCATTAACATATTCTTCTTGTTCTAATTTGAAAACATGTTGATTAAATTCTTGTTGTAATTTTTCATTTGCATAATTAATACAGAATTGTTCAAATGAATTTTTTTCAAAATGTTCAAACCCATAAATATCTAAAACACCAATGAAAGTCTTAATATCTTTTGCCACTTCTGGGTTACATAAATCAGTATTAATATATGACACTAACCAATCAAATAAGGCAGAATAAATATATTTAGCCACGGAATCTCTTGCAACTAAAGCTTGTGGATGATTTAAATCAGAAACAATTTTTTCAGATCTTGTTGTGATTTGCTTTTTAGTAATCCATTTAGCAAAATTATAAGCATCAATACCTAATAATTCAGAAGCTTTAATTAAATTTGGTTCATCTGAAGATAGTGAAGAATTATTTCTTGTTGCTTTAATTTCAATATTACCAATATGTAATAAAGCAGCCAAGATTTGGAAAATTGCAAATTGTTTATCTTTATTTATACCAATTAAAGACAGAGCATCAGTAGTTGATTTATATTCTTCCACTTCATCAACATTTTCAATTCTATAATCACCACCTTGATTTAAATAATTATAATCTTCAATTGAAGTTAATTTTAATTTTTCCTTTTCATCAGATGATAAACCTTCTAAAACTTGATAAAAAATATGATAATTACGTTCATGTTTTGGTTGGAAAACTAATCTTGAACGTTCTAATAAATAAGTTCTTATTCTTGCACCAATGATTGCAGTTTTATCATTAAACAGGATTTCTAAATATTTACCAAAACGTGAAGAATTATCATTTCTTGTAGTTTTAGCATTACCAAAAGCTTCCATGATTGGATTTGTTGCTAAAATTTGTTGTTCAACTTCAGACATTTCCACATTATTTGAATTTGAACCCAGAGCAGTATTATCACTATTTGTAATTTCCTCCACTGTGGCAAAATATCTCATTATATATTTAGCAGAAACAGTTTTACCAGCACCAGATTCACCACTAACAACTATAGTTTGATTTTGTTTATCATTCTTCATACATCTATAAGCATCTTCAGCAATAGCGAATAAATGAGGATCTTGTTCACCTCTTCTTTTCCCAGAGTAAGCTTGGATGATATCAGAAGAATAAAATTGATCAACTCTTTGGAATGGATTAGTTGCAATCAAGACAATCCCAGAATAAGTATAAATATTTAATTGAGAATATCTAACTTTGATAGCATGAAGCACAGCAGGTTCATTTAAATAAGATAATGAAGTTAAATCTTCTGTAGCTTCTAAAATTGGAGGATTTCTTAATAATGGTAAATTTTCATTTGATTCATCAAGAGAATCCACTTCAATTTCCAATTTATCATCATTTGAATCTATACTCAATTCCAATTGATGTTTATTGCTTAGTGTTGTATGCTTTGTGATCTCAGCACCGATCCACCCCAATTTATCATCTCTAACCCAGCATCGACTGTTGTTCAATTGTTAGTATAATATCAACAGATATGAAACCAGATCAAAAAGCAGATCATCACAGCGGTTGGAATGAGGATCCATTCCGCCGTGGGTTCCACAGCGCTCTCACTCTACTCACGTTCCGGCTTCATAGGACGACATGGTGTGTGTTCTCAGTTGTCCTGTGATTGTTCCTTCGTTTCTTCTGAGTCTCAGCGGTTGATTTGATGTTTGTTGATGTTTTAAAATGTCAAGTGTTCACTTTTTTCTGTTTTCAAATTTGACGCGTTTTTTTGAGATTCTGAAACAAATCAAAATTTAAAAATAAAAAAAATGGGAATGTGTGGTTCGTAACAGGAGAATAAGCAGCTGTGCTTCTTAACCATTTGGTATTTTAAATGGGTAAATGTGGTATTTTATTAGGAATGTTCTAATTGAACTAAATGAATTGGGTAATAATTGATGATCTGTAGAATTAGTAACAAAGGGGGTTTTATCTTGAGGATGTTGGTCTGTTGGTCTGTCTTTTCTTGTATTTGATTAGTATAAGATTACCATATATAATACCGACTTATTATGTTCAACAATATCTTGATTGATTTCATATTAGTCTTGGGTTTTTGCAGTTTATTTATCTTTACAGATTTATTCATTAGAATCATTTCAATTATAATACTTTTTTCCTTCATGTGATTTGGTAATAGTATTATATTCCTATGTATCTTTAATAATCATGATGTAATAATTAATAGTTCTAAATCTAAAAGATAAGAGATTATGCTCAAGGATTGATAATATAATCCATTTCAAGGTCTGCTTTAGATTGTTCAAAATGCTTATGGTCCCAGTCTTTCAGATGTTTAATAAGATCATCGGTACCAGCGAACCAAATATTATTCTTAATTAAAGTTCTTATCAAGATATCACAATCAACAAGGCCACAACTAGATGAGCATTATACATTGTAAAGTTTTTCGAAAAGAACAATTGTACATTCAAGTTTATATAACTAATAATATATGATATAAAAAAATGGTTAATCTATACTGTCCTATGGGGTATCTGGTTTATGTTCAACAATTTCATCTTCTTCTTCAGTGTCATCTTCTTCTGTATCTTCTTCTTCTTCTTCTTCTTCTTCTGTTTCTTCGTCGTCTTCTCCTTCTTCTTCTGTGTCTTCATCTTCTTTAACATTTTCCTCTTCATCTTCATCATGTTCAACAATATCTTGTTTAATTTCGTCATCTTGAGGTTCTATAATTTCTTCATTCTCTGGAATCTCTTCAGTAATTTCCTCAACATTAGCATAATTTCTAACAGGAACATCAACTTTTGGTGGTTCAACAGTTTCTTTTGATTCAATTTCACTTGATGTATTACTAACCTCTTCACTTCCAGGTGTTATAATTCCATCATCACCTAAAGTTGCAGTATTAATTTTAAAAATAGTTTTAGTTAATTCACCACCTTGTTCCAAAATTTCATCCATTGAACGTTCTCTTGATTCTCTAGCTTGAAATGCTAAATTTGCCTTAGCTCTTGCTATAGCAAATGCTGAACCAGTTTCTTGTTCTAAAGTTTTTAAATGGAATCCAATTTCTCCAATTTTTTTTTCAAATATTGTTAATTTTGGTTGGAAAGTTGTTAATTCATTTCTTTTGGAAATAAGATAATTTTTTGATTTAATATATTGTTTCCAATCATTAAAGCTTTCATCATCATTATTTATTAAATCAGGATTTGATTGAATTTTTTTAAAATTATTAGAATAAGTTGAAAACATCATTTTTTTACTAAATTCATTTATAGCAACTTCTGCAAATTCTTCTAAAATATCAATTACTATTTTTCTTTCCAATTCAATTTCCTCTTCGACTTCAGCAACTGATTTTTGTAATTCTGTATTAACATTATCTGCAATTTTTTTTAACGCTTTAGAATTTTCAGTGAAAAAATCACGAATTTCTTGTCTTGAAATTTTATGATCAATTAAATTATCATCTTGATTTAATTCAACTTGTTGATTATTTTCCAATATGGCACTTGTGGAATTTATATCCCAGATAATTTTATTAATTTCAATATAATTAAATTGTGCAGTATTACTTAAATTTGATAATTTTTCTTTTAAAATTGGTGAAATTTCTTCAATTTTTTCATTTTGTAAATTATCAATAGTTTTATTAAATGATCTGAAGATATTTTCCACTGTATTGCTTATAAATTCATTCCATGCTGTAATTTCATCAGCTAATGATAAAGTTAATTCACCATCTTGTTGATTTTTAGTTTGAACTTGTTTGAAATTGGTTTCAATTGGTTCTTGTTCATCTTGAACTATTGTGACTTGTTCAATAATTTCAATTGTGGAAGTTTTTAATGGTTCAACTTCTGTATCTTGAGGAATTTCAGATTCTGGAGCTTCCAAAATATCTTCTTCATTATCTTCAACTATTGGTGTAATTTCTGGATTTTCTAAAGATTCTGTAGATTCTAATGATGTACCTGTTTCAGTTGTAGCCACAGTGGAATTTTTATTTATATTGAATTGTTTGGAATCTGTAATTTTAATAAATTTTTCATATGTTGATGATGAAAAATTTTGTAAAAATTCACCAATTTGTTCTAATTTAAATAAGGTATAATATTTCAAAACATGTACTTTGATTAATTCAACATATTTTTGGAAATACTGATCATAAATTGGAGTTATCACAGGGATAATTTTATTATAAAATGGTTTAATTTGATCACTATATAATTGATTCCAATAAGTTTTACCAATGATGTAACTTTTATTAGAATGGATTTTCAATAAATTCCAAGCTTGTAATGATTTTGAGTGTGAATCTTTAGTAAATGGAATAGCTTTGTTATGATAAAAATCCACTGCTAATGGATAAGCAGTTTGATAATTTTGATAAAGATAATTATATGATTGATTTATAGTTTGAATTGAAAATTTTATAGCTTGATTATTGAAAAATTTCACCTTAGACTCCACAAGGTCCCAATATTCATCTACTTTAGGTTTAACATCATTGAATTGATTATATATAGATGAATCAATAATCTTGGAAGTTAATGTATCAACATGATGAGAGACATAATTATGATATTGGTTATTAACTTGGAATTGGACCTTATTATATGAAGGAACAATATATTCTTGATAATAAGGAGTGAATTGATTTTGCACAGGTGATACATAATCAGTATAAATTGGATTGACTTGGACTTGGTTCCATAAGTTATTAACATTGGCTTTGACGGGAATCAATTCTGGAGAAGACCAGTCCAAAGTTAAATATACAACATAGGACAATAAGCACAGCAGCAGGTACTTGTTGAAAAAGAGAGCCATGGTCACACTAATAGAGCAGCAGTTATTGATACAATGGTCTTGTTGATATTGGTTCTTTTTGATGATGTGTTTTTAATGGTTTGATAAATTTTTGTTATTGTTTTCATGAAATTTCCACATGGAAATCAAAACAAAGAAAATGGAATTATGTATATTTCTACCATCAGAACATCAATTATCACCAATGGAAAGTAGATAATTCATTAATTTACCCCTGTTTACCCCCTAAATACCCCTTAAACCACCAAAAACAACCAATTTTGACCATATTCTCCATACAATCCTCCACTGATCACCACCGGGTAATAAAAGATCAAGTACATGTAACTATTATAGCTTCGCGCACTCGCGCTCAACGAAATCCTCAGCGGTTAATCAATTGAATCAAATTGAATCAAATTGAAATCAAAAGGGAATCCAAACAGAACTCAAGAAATCCACAGCGCTTATTCAAAATGTCGTTCTGGCCATTTGGACAGAACACGAGCTCAGCGTTGAACATCAACAGGCTCTTGGACGAGTACTACTACCAGCGAAGTGTCCATGGACAGGAGCAAGACAAAGAAAGACAGGAAAGTGGTGAAGTCAATGGTAGCAGTGGGATCAATGGTAGTAATGCTAGTAACGGTGTCAGTGAAGGTGATGTTGATGCTGATGCTGAAGGTGATGATCTAGATGTCCATAACGTGGTGATTGATAGAGACTTTGTTTACCAAGTGTTGGACGATTCAAGCTTACTCACAGAATTGGGAAGACAAAACAATAAGTTGATTGATTTCATATGCTTTGGTTATATCAATGATAATGATCAAGATGACGACCAGATCCAGATCCAGGATCAAGACCAGGATCAAGAGATGAAAGATGATCAACCCCAATTGAATCATCCTCAACATCAACAAGGCACAGCTGTATTAGAGATTTTACTAGATATAATACTAGATTCAGTGGAATGGTTTAAAGAAAATGAAAGTCAATCAAATAAAATGTCTGATGATTCAATGTTTGATGATGATGGAAATGATGATGATGGTGATCCAATAAATCAATTGGCTCTAGTATTCAATAGAATTCATGCTGCTTCTGAAATATTATCATGTAAAATTTGGCTTATATCTGAAACTCTTGTGGAGGAACCTTCTTTATTAAATAAACTATGGAGTTTTTTATCAAATGATTTTGAAACAACTTCTTCACCATCAATCCCACTTTTCATCAAAATTAATGAACAATTATTATTATCAAGACCTGATCAAATGTTAAATTTTATAAGGTCTCAAGAAAATTTAGTTGATAATTTCCTTAAACATATTAATATTACAATGATTATGGATTTTTTATTGAAAATTATAACAACTGATAAACCTGATATGCCTACTGGTATTATTGATTTATTATCTGAACAACAATTAATTCCCAAAATCCTAAATTTCCTACAATCTTCACAAGATTCTGCATTACAATCTTCATGTGGTGATTTTTTAAAAGCTTTAATTGCTATAAGTGCAAATACTTCAATTGATGAACATACAATAGGACCAAATTTATTAACAAAAGAACTTGTTAATGATGATAATATTGATAAAATTATTGAAATTATATTACAAAAAGGTAATGGATTAGCCACAGCTGTTGGAGTTATAATTGAAATTATTAGGAAAAACAATTCAGATTATGATACTGTTAATTTATTATATACTACAACTGAATCAAATCCACCGAATAAAAGAGATTCAATTTATTTAGGTGGTATGCTTAAAAAATTTTCATTAAATTTAAATAATTTCCAAAAAATCCTGGTTGATCCAAAATTAACTTCAAAAAGAATTGAAAATCAAATTAATCAAGAAATTGAACCTTTAGGTTTTGAAAGATTTAAAATTTGTGAATTAATTGCAGAATTATTGCATTGTTCAAATATTTCACTGTTAAATAATCATTTAACTGAAAAAATTATTGCAGAACGTGAAGCTTTTTTACGTCATCAAGAAGATAATTTACAAAATGCCCTATCAGAAGCTTTGATAGATACTTCAATAACATCAACAACATTAGCACCATCACCTGGTTCTGCACAATTTAATGGATTCTCAAATTTAAATATTGGTGGTACTTCTGAACCATCAGTTGCATTAAGTTCTAAAAACATTACAATATCACCTCATCAACAAACTGAAATTGAACCAATGACTCCAATAAATGAAGAACTTTTGGATGATAATGATGATAAACAACAAGAAAATAGTTCTTCACATCAATTACCACAACATCAATTCCCCGTGATGACTAAAAGAGAACAATTAAGATCAAATCCAACTGTGGGAGATTTTTTTAAAATTAATCTTGTTGATTCTAAAATTATTCAAACAATTTTAAAAATGTTTATAAAATTTCCTTGGAATAATTTTTGGCATAATGTTGTTTTCGATATTGTTCAACAAATTTTCAATGGTAGATTAGATATATCATATAATCCATATTTAATTTTAGAATTATTTGAAAAATCAGATATAACAAATTTAATAATTGATGCATATAATTTATGTATAACTACTGAACAAACTACAAAAGTTCGTTTAGGTTATATGGGACATTTAATATTAATTGCAGAAGAAGTTGTTAAATTTTCATCAATTTTCCAAAATTCAAAATTTAATGATTTAGAAGTTGATGAATTAATTTATTTAAAATTAATTGATCCACAATGGATTAATTATGTTACAAATATCTTGACTGAAACAAGAGAAATGTATAATTGTGTTCTTGGAGGTATTAAAAATGATGAATTTAATGAATCAAATTATTTAAATTCAAAAGCAATTATATTAGGAAATTCTGAAGAAGAGATATTAAATCAAGTACCAGAAGAACAACAAGAACAACAAGATGATCAAGAACAAGAACAAGAACAAGAACAAGATCCAAAAGATGAAGATTTTTTATGATGTAAAAGATTCAAATTCAAATGAAGAATACTAAATCATGGTCATGATAAAAGCATACCCCCCCCCCCCCCCCATTCATATTAACGAATTATTATAATTATTTATGAGTTTACGACGACATACATTTTAAAAAACATATCTTACAAGTTTACATATTATTATATTCATTATAATGTCACAAATATATATAATCCATAACTAAATGAATTTGTAGAATTTTATTTTATGTATCGGGACTCGCGACTCCAACTGCAAACACGTAGTAAAGCTGCTTAGGGCCATGCTTGAACAAGAAATTAGTTCACAACTATCTGGTGACTTGAATGATATACCAGAGACTGCTCCATACAAAATATACGTTGCTGTTTTTATAACTAATTGGATAAATATTGCATTCTTGACTTTTCTGTACTTTTGTTTTTATGACGCGAATTTTTAAAAACAAAGCTTCAAAACAAAAAAGAAAACAATATCGTATATTGGTCTAACAACGGTGACAGAGGTGATATACAAAGAGTGGCTATAGAAGATATGTTGAGCTATTGAGGTACCAATTTGTTGGAGATCAGTTTTATGTTAATCTTGCCTCTTTTTCATCTGGTTATTTGGTATAAATGTGGGAATCTCGATTGACATGGTAAATTAACTTCAGTTTTGTGTCACAGTATTAACTCAATCAATCAAACTAATTACATGCATATCAAATGACGTTCTAGAACATATTACACAAATAGAAGTTTGATTATAGTTATTTTTAGTTCTGTTGCTTTTGTGACACAATTAATTTTTTGGGGTTTTTTGTTTATAGGTTTTGTGGTTTGCAAAATCTGGAAAAGTATAAAGACATCATAATTTCCCCTTTTTTTATTTTTACTTTCTAATTGTGTTTTTTTTTCCCTTAATCTAATCATTGGTTTTCATTATGTTTGTTGGATGATTATTCAGGGGTTGAATCTCCGTTATGAGTTCTAGTCATGATCCATAGCTCCAGAGGTTACCTGTTTATATTGGTTTCAGGAGGTTTCGACGTGTTTTTGTGTGTCATCCCCTTATATGAGTTGATTATGGTTATGGGATTTTGGTCGATTCTCCATTTCATGTCCTTGTTACATCAGTTGTTGGTGATATTCAATATTTTCAAAGAATTAAATGGCAATATATGATTTTAGATGAAGCTCAGGCAATAAAATCTTCAAATTCATCTCGTTGGAAATCTTTATTAGGTTTACAATGTCATAATAGATTGTTATTAACAGGTACACCAATTCAAAATTCAATGCAAGAATTATGGGCTTTATTACATTTTATTATGCCTTCATTATTTGATAATCATGAAGAATTTAGTGAATGGTTTTCCAAAGATATTGAAAGTCATGCTCAATCAAATACTCAATTAAATGAACAACAATTACGTCGTTTACATGTTATTTTAAAACCATTCATGTTGAGACGTATTAAAAAAAATGTTCAATCTGAATTAGGTGATAAAATTGAAATTGATGTTTATTGTAATTTAACAAATAGACAAAAAAAATTATATAAAATGTTAAGATCACAAATTTCATTAATGGATCTTATTGAAAAAGCAACATCAGGTTCTGATGATTCAAATCAATCATTAATTAATTTAGTTATGCAATTTAGAAAAGTTTGTAATCATCCTGATTTATTTGAAAGAGCTGATGTTAAAAGTTCATTTAGTTTTGGGAAATTTGCAGAAACAGGTTCATTCCTTAGAGAATCAAATGAAATAGAAATGTCATATACAACAACAAATTTAATTGAATATAATTTACCAAAATTAATTTATAATGATTTGTTAAACCCAAATTTTGAAAATTCTGTGGATGTTAATAATCATGTTTTAAATCATTTATTAAATATTTGGAACCCTAGCTATATTCAAGAAAATAATGATGAAGATAATGCATTTACTTGGTTAAATTTTATTAATGAAACACCAAATGAAATTACCCAGATTGCAAGATCCAATATATTTGAAAATTCAATTAATTTGAAAAAATTCTCTGAACAAGATGATTTATATGAAAATGAATTAGATAATAAATTTTTAATAATAAAACCTAAACATGATAAAATTGAAAATAATGAATTAATTAATATTCAAACAAAAGTTTATCAAGATTTATATTTAAATGTTCATGATGCTTCTGTTCAACCTTCTGCATCAGCACCACCAATTGATCTTGTATGTTCTGATCAATCATTTATAATTCAAAAAAATCATGAATTATTTAATCCATTAATAAGAAAAGCATTATCCAAATCATCATTAAATGAAGAATTATATTTAATGGAACAAGAAATTCCATTATCAAAATTCCCCAAGACTGAAATGTTACCACCTGCATTAAATAACAAGAATGGTTGGTCATCAATTAGAATGCCATCAATGAATAGATTCATAACAGATTCTGCAAAATTAGCAAAATTAGATGAATTATTAGTTGATTTAAAGAAAAATGATCATAGAGTTTTAGTTTATTTCCAAATGACCAAGATGATGGATCTTATGGAAGAATATTTAACTTATAGACAATATAAATATATTAGATTAGATGGTACATCAAAATTAGATGATCGTCGTGATTTAGTTAATGATTGGCAAACAAGACCTGAAATTTTTGTTTTTTTATTATCAACAAGAGCTGGTGGTCTTGGGATTAATTTAACTGCAGCAGATACTGTTATTTTTT